TATCCATGAAGGGGAATCCAGATCAACATATGAAAACAAGGTTTAGTGTGCTCAGATTTGCTGAGCCGTTTTTTTTTTTAAATATGTTCCCATTGGTAAATCCGCTATGACTGGGGAATCTATATGGAACATGTCTTATTCTTTCGGACCATCTGCAATGAATACTAGTTGCCTTGGTAATTTTACATAGCTATTGAATCTCTATTTTCAATAGGAACATCATTTGCAAAACAATCCTCAATAGCTATGTCGCAAATGACCAGAGGGTGCAGCACCCATGGTATACCAAAAGGCCAATGTTCATAGGGAACATGCCATCCACATGGCCATTTCAATAGGGAAAATAGGGAACATGATGATCAACTATCTTATTTTTTGATGTTGAACCCCCTAAGTTTCTCAACATTCACCCCAAACATATCCAAACATCACAAACAGTTTTGTAGGTAAATATACCAGCACCATGGTTCGCATAATATGGACATGCCATGGTTAGCTTTTGAACTTGACCCTTCAGAAATGGCCCGTTTTGATGGGTTCAGTGATCACACGTGTGCTGCTTGGCATACTAGCTCAACTGGAGGTTGAGGGTCGAGACTACACATATTATATACATATATTGTATATATTATATTCATAAATTCATATGTATATTTGTAAATGAACATAATCGTATTTTACTATACTCATATCATCCCTCAGTTCAAATATATGGGTTTGTCTGAAAATAGGGTTAATATTCCCAATGAAATAGCCATTTAAAAACGGGATAATGATATATAATGATCATTAACCATTGGGTTTAGGGGTACACTATTTTCAGACACACCCATATGTATATATCATATAATATACACCACCGATCTATTAATTTCACATGCATTTCGTCCGCTGGACGTCCCCAGGCGGCTAACATCACCATGCGCGATGTGTCCGCCGTGGTGAATTACTACCAAGACAAGGTGGCCCTTGGTTTTGTGGCGAACAAAAACCATGGGAAAAACCATGGGAAAACCGTGGTAAATTGTGTTTATTGGATGTTTTATGGTGTGAGAATCTCATAATGATTGAAGATTTTTCTTGAATTTCAACATTTCCGAATAGAATTTCTTCAACATGGTATTCGATGGTAGTGTTTCGATTCGAATTTGATCCCAGCTGAAACTAGTTCTTGGGAGGTTGGGTTGATTCCCCGATGTCCTGTTGTATTGTGGTGAATCAATACCCTCTGGTAAACGCGCTAACATAACTATGGAAAATCAGCATTTGCAATGGATAAATCCACTATAAATCACCATTTTCAATAGCTAGGGAACAAATTACCAGGTAAATCCACTATAAATCACCATTTTCAATAGCCATGTAACAAATTACCAGGTAAATCCATTATAAATCACCATTTTCAACAGCTATGTGACAAATTACCATAGGGTAACCATGGTTACGCATATGTTACCCAACATTTATATGGGACGAACCCAAGAATTATGGGATGTCGTGGGTGAACCTTACTAAAACTAAGAGTCATAGCTTCAACTTAACATCTTCAAAACTATAGCATATACCCTCTGGTAAACTAACATAGCTATTGAACATGCCCATTTATAGTGGATTTTACCATGAAAAATGGTGATTTTCCATAGTTATGGTAGTTTACCAGAGTGTATATACTTCTATAATTTGATACTCACAGATGATTAACTTATATACATTATATTTATAATTTCTGAATTATCAAAGTAGTTTTGATAAATTATAGTTTTCCCCTAGAACTATATAATGATATGTATATATATATATGGATTAACCACACGATAAAAGATTATACTATATATTATTTGCGTCAACATGTCCCTTGGGTTGATACGTTACAGGCTATTCGCATAGTTTGAAGCCCAAGGAACCCCTATTCTATATTGTAGATTATGAACACTATTGAGTATTAAACACCATTAGTTCTATTATTTCAATGGCCACTTGAGGAACCTAAATTGGAGGTACCTACCACATATAAGACCTATGTAAGGGCTAAACTTCAGGGGATATAATCCACAATTTCTATGGCTGTGTAATGGTACAGTACCTCCATTTTAGGATCCAGTATAATTCCCATTGATTGTTTCCCTTAACATTAAAGATTAATTAGCACTATTAAACTTTATAGACTATTAACACTATAAAGTATGACTCTATTAAAAAAATTATAGATTATTTACAAGATATCTATAGAGTATTAAACATTATAAAAAAAATGTATTGTTTCCCGTAGCATAACCCACCCAATTTCTATGGCTTTATATACGATACCGTACCTCCATAATATCGATCCAGTATAATTCCCAAAGATTAGCACTACTCATTTTTATAAGTTTGATCATTATAGATTATTAACTTATATATTTACATAATAATCAGATAAGATTGTTTCCCTTAACGCGATCAATTACACTATTATCACTATTAACACTAGAGAGATCTGTAGAGTATTACTCTCTATAGATAATACCATTATAGATTACTAATCTATTTCCTTAACATATCTATATAAAGTATTAATAATCATCAGATAACATTATTTCCCTTAACACCTTTTAATGGGAATTTCTATGGGACTTATTTCTATGATTTCCCTTAAACATCCATTAACATCATTATTTTTATGGAAATTTCCTTACTGGTGCATAGTAGGGAATGGATGGGAATGGGGGAATGGGATTATAATTGATAATTAGCCAGTGGATCATTCCCTCATTCCCTACTAAGCACCAGTAAGTTTCTACCGTAGATGGACGATGAAATCAAACCCTTGCTGTATTGTTGTCACCCCCCGCACCCCCAAATTTCAATGTTGTCTTTGGGTTCCGCGCTTGGCACCGGTGGACAAAAAAATCAAACCCGGAACACAGACGAAGCTAGATAGAGTTTTGTTCAACATTGAAATTTGGGGTGTGGGGTTTTACTTGCTAGATGTCTGTAGGTTTTGATTTTTTTTGTCCATCTACTGTAGGTCCCCTGAAAGACATTTTTTTTATTTCTCCATATATTGGGAATAATCATCACAATTGACGAACTCCATCATTTTTCAGAGGGGTAGGTCAACCACCAACCAGGTAGGTATATATATATATTTATAGATTATATATTAACCATAGACTTACTATGGTTAATATCAACAGCTAGCAATATTTCGAAAACTCCTATGGTTGATGACCAAAACCATGATACAAGGTGGTGCCCCCCAGTTATAAGTTGGTTTATAATCCCATTAACTAGTTCGGTGTATCACCTACAAAAACCGTAGTGACATTGGAGTTATGTTCACCAACTTAGCTATCGAACGGGGGCACCACCTTGTATTATGTTATATATATATACACCATATATATATATTCTGGTCGGTTACTACAATCTATCCATACATTCCCTGGCTGGTGGTATACTATACCATTAGTTATATATACCATTAGTTAAAACCATGATATTACCATCTGGTAATTTAACATAGCTATTGAAAATGGTCATTTATAGTTAGTTTTCGAATTAAAAATGGTGATTTTCCATAGTTATAGTGGATTTTCCATAGTTGAACTATGGTTATAGTGGATTTTCCATGTTATAGTGGATTTTCCATAGTTATATATATATATATATATACCATGGTTGATTAACCATTCCCATAGGATCTTCGTCTGCGACGACAGGTGCCCTCGGATCACCTGTCGCTGAACGTCCTGCAGGAGGCCTTGGATCGTCAGGTCATCGTGGCCAAGGAGGCCCTGCAGGAGCGACGGCGACGCCGCCCGGTGCCCTTTAAACGTTTAAAGGGGGCAACCAGGGGCCCGAGGTCAACGGCTGGAAATATTGGGGAAAAAACACGGAAAAAATATGGTTTCATATGAGGCACTTGATATGGTTTAACATGATTTATATGATTTAATAAACAAAAATTGGCTGTGAATATGGTTTGAGATTGTTTAATCATGAGCAACTGAGGCATGATCGCGGTTTCACATGGTGTTTAACATGGTTTAAGCAACAAAACATAGGGATATGATAAAAGCAGCCAAAAACTGCGGGGACTTTGAGCATCATAAAAGGCATTTCACCAACAACATATCGGGCTAATATAATTAATATAGGGGAGTTGTTTTCGAAGATTTGCCATGGGAAATCATTGTTAACATGGAATTTCCATCTTACTTATTGGAGAACACGGGTGGATAACTCAGCCTTGTATCAAAGTCACCCAAAAATGGGGTCACTGGATGTTCTGATTCCCAGAGACTCGTGGCATCTCGTGGGATTTTCCATGGTTGGCGGCTGGGCATCCAGGTTGCGGTCGTTGCCGTTTGGGATGCCCTCCAGTGTTTGGTAGAAAAACCCACCAGGAAAAACGCAGATCATTTTCTGGGAAACCATTGGTATTTTCCACATCGATGTAGACATCCTTACCCTCTGGTAATTTAACATAGCTATGGAAAATCACTATTTTTTAATGGGAAAATCCACTATAAATGGCCATTTTCAATAGCTATGTTAGTTTACCAGAGGGTAAAGGACTTGACTAAAATGATCAAAATGCCTTCGCTTCTCGCTTTACGCAGCTTGTGGGCTTTCTATGACAACTGCCAATGGAAAAATGTGGCTGAATGGTGGAAAAAACATCTGCAGGGGCGCAGGTGTGGATCATCCAATCATTTCCCACCTATGAACTATGAACCCAATTTCATGGGGGTTTGATCCTTAAATCCACTAATCGTTTTTTGTCCCAGAAAGGCATCAGTTGGCCTTGAAAAGAGAATTCGCCCCACATATTTTCATGTCCACGAATAGAATTTTCAATGCTTTCTATGTGTATGTATATATACAATAAGCCCGGAAAACAAAAAAACAGAGTCACTTTCCACTAATGATTTAGGATGTTTTAGGATTGATTTCCCCAATTTCCATCTGGGGATTGCGACTCACAAACATCTCTGCTTTTTCGACAAGCCGCGCGATGGTTGCCATTGCGTGTTATCGCCCGCCCTCAAGCGTGTTGGAGGGGAAGGTTCAGGTGGGTCTTTTCGGCTCCGATTGTTTGGAAAACCCTAATGGTCCGATGTGGAAAACCCATGGTTTCCTTAGGAACAGGACCTACAAATACAGTAGTGTGTATTTTTTTCTCACATCTATGTTAGTTTACCAGAGGGTAATTATAATATATTATAGTCGTCCTGAAGTCGATAGAGTATGACAGTTTCAAAGGTAATTCCATTCTTAGGGAGGCTTCTTTGAAAATTCCTGATTCTACTCCAGTATGACTAGAGATTTTCTGGTTGGTGGTTTGGGACATTTGGATTAGTTTTCCATATATTGGGAATAATCATCCCAACTGACTAATATTTTTCAGAGGGGTTGAAGCCACCAACCAGAAGATCATTTAGAGGTACCATTTCAGCAGATGGCAGAAAAAATGGACCTAAGGGTATCATTTCAGATGACATCACTGGGGTGGCTTCGCATCATGTGCGCATCTGGTTTCGTGTGGTAAACCCAAGGAAAAATTAATCATCCCATCAACAAAGCATGGGGCGCATTTACATCATCGCGAATGGGTCATGTCTCTATTGGAGGTAATTACGTATTGGCCTAACCCCATTATGAACCATTGTTGTCAGTTATGAAAACCAACATCAACCATTATTAACCACAAACTTATCATTATTGTTAACAATTGAATCATTGATATTTTCGTGGGGTCTCCAATGTTCAACCGGACCCATCGTTCCGATCGAAAAAAACATGTTGGCCTTGTTGAAACTTCTCTTAGAATGGGACAAAGAATTACCAACACTTCAGTCAACATCATGTGAACCCAAGCTTTCACCTGGAAATGCGGCTAATAGATGTTCAATGACTCCAAATATTCAAGTACAGTGCGAAAAAGATGTTATTGCCAGAAATTCAGCGGGGCTTTGGGCCGTAGAGGTATATGACATTCCTTGAAATGGTACTAAAAACAGGGAAAACGATGGGACTGTTTGAGCGCTCGAAATGATCAAACTAAACTTCACTAAACATTGAAGAAATTCATATAAATTCAATGGTGTAAGTTTGAGATTTTATAGTTGCAAATTCAGTGGGTCTATTTTTGTATCCATTTGTCAATGGCCAGAAAGGTCTGATGTTCCATCCGTAGCTGATGGTGGCCCTGCTTAACCTTGGTGCCCTATGAAGAAACCAAATAGAATAGGCTACTTGGGACCCACCCTATACCCTCTGGTAAACGAATATAATATAACCATGGAAAATGACTGATTTATAGTCGGTTTACTCATTAAACATGGTGATTTTCCATAGCTATGTTAGTTTACTGGAGGGTACGTAGATTGATCACGATCCCTAATAAACCAGCACTCTAATGCCAAAGAGCCAGCCAACCATCATTTTCAATTAAATCGCATATTAGTACGACTCATATTAGACGTTTGATTGTTAAACAGATTTAAACAGTATATTTTCAAAAAAACACGGTTAAATCCCTATTGAACAACTCACCAACCATCATTCTCTTAGTTCAATCAATCTCCCTTTTCGTTGAATCCTCAGATTGGGATATTCCCCATGAAAATCATGTACCCTCTGGTAAACGTTTACATAACTATGGAAAATCACCATGCTATCAATGGGAAAATCCACTATTTCTATGGTCATTTTTAATAGCTATGTGACAAATTACCAGAGGGTATATCCCATTCATAATCCATTAAATCACCATAAAGTCCCATTAAATCATCATTAAATCACCATAAAATGTCCATCCAATCAGCATTAAATCAACATTAAATCACCATGGTATTCGTTAAAAAAAACCCGAACTCATCATCAACCAACTGGGCTTCGTTGCGAGGGTTCTTGGTGGCCCGTGCAAGATGCGGTGCCCTTCGCGCTTCCTGAGGAGGAATGGCAGCAAGGAGCGGATGGTCTATTTTGGATGATCTAATGGGGTACAGCGATTGGAAACCTCTGGTGTTTGGAAATATGTGATCTTGGGGTGTTTTATATCCACGCCATTCCCATGTTTCATGGAAAATTATGGTGCTTTTAAAAGTTTTGACCAACAAACATGTGTTCCGGGGATACAATGGTGATATTCATCACTTTTTTTCGGGAACCAGTGAGACATGGGGATGGCGGGGATTTCACAAAAAAGGGGTCACATTAGCTAGGGGTCACCCTTTGGGGGTGTCCTAATTTTCCCGTTAAAACCTGGAGCCGCGGAGATTGATGGGGCAGGATTCCAGAGGATTCCCTTTTGAGATGGATGACATTGGATGACCATAAAGCCATATATTTTTTTGGTACCCAACCTGGCTATGACTAACAGTTCGCCATGGTAGAGCCATGGCCCTAATTGAAATAGATGGTTTAGCTATTAATAGCATGGTGATTTTCCATGGCTATGTTAAATAACCAGATGATATCTCTTTTTGCAATGTTTTGATCTTAGCACATCACTTGACTAAGATCCCGATTTTTTTGAGGGAAACATCAACTTGTATTGTTTTCCATACGATTGCGTTGCTGGTTGGTGGTTTCAAACATGAATTTCATTTTCCATTTCATATATGGGATGTCATCCTTCCCATTGACGAACTCATATTTTTCAAGATGGTTATTGCACCACCAACCAGATAATCACATATTATTGATACCCTCTGGTAAACGTTTACATAACTATGGAAAATCACCATTTTTAATGGGTAAATCCACTATTTCTATGGCCACTTTCAATAACTATGTTTGTCATAGATCTTTTACCACATGACATTTTTAGAGTCGCTTGAAACCGCAGAAAGTAGCCAGGAAGTGAAACCATCGAGCTCTTTGGCACCTTTGCGTGGCTGAAACCACCCAGAGGTGGGAATGGTGAGAAAGTTTCTTGGGCTGTTGGGATGCCTGGAATGGGGGTACCAAAATCGCGAGCGTAGGACCGTAGGATGGTTGATGAATCATGGAAAATACCATCTATTTCTATGGATGATAACCGGGGGTAGCCTCATGACTTAGGAAACCCACTAAATATGATTATGACGCAAAATGCTTCATTTTATTGGAAACCAGCAAATATTTACAACCAACAAAAAAAAACAAACCAACAAAAACAACCCCTCCAAAAAAACAAACCAAAAAAAATCAAAAAAAACAAACAAAACACAAAACAAACAAAAAACAATAAACAGCGCACGGTTTGAAACTCAGAGAGACTTTGTGCTTCTCCCTAATCGCCGCAGCTTGTTGATACCACTTGCTCTCAAAGTCCACAGTCTGCTGCGTTGCCTGCTGCCAAGCTGCGACCAAAACTCCCAAAATCCAACAAAAAGGGGTACCACGAGCCACCGGGGCACCCCCTAGACTGATCGCTTGCCCCCATCAAGGGTAGTGGGCGCAATGTTTGAAGCTTTGACTAGGCAGCCCTTGTTGCATTTTGGGAGTTTTGGTCGCAGCTTGGCAGCAGGCAACGCAGCAGACTGTGGACTTTGAGAGCAAGTGGTATCAACAAGCTGCGGCGATTCGGGAGAAGCACAAAGTCTCTCTGAGTTTCAAACCGTGCGCTGTTTATTGTTTTTTTGTTTGTTTTTTGCTTTTTTATTGTTTTTGTTTTGTTTTTTGTTTGTTTTTTAATTGTAATAATTATTTTCGATTTTCCAATGGGTGAAGGTCTCTCGACGTCATAACTCTAAATATGATGGTTGATGAAGATTTTCTCAAAATTTGCCGCTTTGACACACCCATATGTCATCATCTCGCATGGATCCTTCATCATTTCCTTGAGGCGGCCTCCAGTTCCTCATCCTCATCTCAGGCGGCCTCCGACTACATCGACCTGAACGTTGAGGAGATGCTCAGCACAAACGGTTAATGAGTGAAACATGGTGGACAAATCTGTTTTGAACATGGCTGAATCTGATACAGAAATTCAGATCACAAATCATCAGACTTTTTTGGATGTTGTTAAAGCGTCACAGATGTTGGAACCTTTTGTTTTCGTTGTTTATCACGCACCAGTGCATTTGACACACCACACCGAGCAACACCTTGTGCAGATCTTGAACAATTTTGGCTTGCAACAGGTGCAGGGGGGGTTGTGCTACCTGGTTGATATGTGTGTATGTATTAAATGCAATGTAATGTAACGTAGTGTACTGTAGCGTAATGCAATGTAATTAGTATATGTATGTATGTAATGTAATGTAACGTAACCTAAACGTTAACATCAAACAATACCACTGCCAACACCGGATTGATGAACGTAGCTGATTGCCGCAACAAGAGGGGCATCCCTTTTCTCGCCAAGTACGTTGAAGGCTTCGCACCCAAAAATCGGACGTCCCAAAATCGGGGTACCTGCAAATCACAATGGTCTACATGGTCTACACTGACATTTGATATAGACCTATGATTCCATGATCATACGCTTGAAACTAAACACTATCCGAAAAATGTATGTACATCATTCATACATATATACATTACATTCCATGACATTACATTCCATTAAATTACATGACATTACATTACCATTACATTAAATGACATTGCATGACATGACATTACATTAAATTACATCAAATGACATTGCATTACATAACATTACATTACATTGCATCACATGACATTGCATGACATGACATGACATGACATTACATTGCATCACATGACATTGCATGACATGACATGACATGACATTACATTAATACATGCATGCGTGCATGCATACATACATACAGACATACATACATACATACATACATACATACATACATGCATACATACATACATACATACATACATACATACATACATACTACATTACATTACGTTACATTACGTTACATTACATTACATTACATTAGGATATCTTACAATATTTTGATAAACGGTGGCCACAACTCGTTCAAAAAAATGATGTTGCTTCTTTGAGGGGAACTACCCGTTTTTCAAGCTAATCCTTACAGTATCTAAACGCAGGGCACCTCTAAATTTGATGGTTGATGAAGATTTTCTCCAAATTTGCCGCTTTGACACACCCATATGTCATCATCTCGCATGGATCCTTCATCATTTCCTTGAGGCGGCCTCCAGTTCCTCATCCTCATCTCAGGCGGCCTCCAGTTCCTCATATTTATATATATGTATATATGTATGCATATAAATATATATATATATATGTAAATATATATATGCAAGTATATGTATATATATATATGTATATATATTTGTATATATATATATATGTAAATATATGTATATGTATATATATATATATATTTATATATGTATAAATATATATGCACATATATATATATATATTTACATAGCAGGCTGAGGAGGGTTGGCTTGAAAATCATGCCAGAACCATCGGGTCCTGTCGGTTTTCTATGTTTGTGGCAGTTGACACCATTTTGAGCGGTAAAGTTTGGCTTAAGGACGGTCAATGATAGAATGATAGATGCAAGAGATCTTCAGAATCAGATCTCCATTCACTTCCATTCACTTCCATGCACATCCATGCAAATCAATGCACATGCATGCACACCATCTCATAGGGAGCAGGCGCTGACTACAGTGACTACAGCGACCTGGACGTTGAGGAGGTGCTCAGCACAAACGGTTAATGAGTGAAACATGGTGGACAAATCTGTTTTGAACATGGCTGAATCTGATACAGAAATTCAGATCACAAATCATCAGACTTTTTTGGATGTTGTTAAAGCGTCACAGATGTTGGAACCTTTTGTTTTCGTTGTTTGTCATGCACTGGTGCATTTGACACACCACACCGAGCAACACCTTGTGCAGATTCGCTTTGATTTCTTCAAAGAGCAGTTGCTCTTGCAACAGGTGCAGGGGGGTTGTGCTACCTGGTTGATAAGTGTGTATGTATTTATGTAATGTAACGTAATTTAACGGAATCTAATGTAACCTAATGTAATGTAATGTAATGTAATGTAACGTAGTGTGCTGTACTGTGCTGTAGTGTAATGTAATGTAATGTCATTTAATATTTGTATGTATGCATGGATGCACGCATACATGTATGTAATGTAATGTCATTTAATGTATGTATTTTCCATCCTGCCATGTTTGAAGACTACTGGAAGGTAGCTGGTTGGGGATTTCACTTTTTTGTTTGCATACTACACGCATATTTTTGGATGGGTCAAATACCAGCCAAGCAGGTATTGAAGATATCCAAGTTGGTAACATCGCCTACCAGACTCAACAGAACTTGCGGTTCTGTATATACATTAAAGATTGGGGCAATGTTTTTTCACAAATCAATTGTCAAGGGAAGTATGAAGTCACAACTTGTCTCAAATCAAGTTTCAGGTTGATAGATACATTTGCTTGGTTCACTTGATGGATGGCTTGAAACTTGACCTGATACGTGAAGAAACTCGCATATTAGTTCGTGACTTAACATACTAAATGAATGAATAGATGCTGGTTGTTAATTTAAGTTTTACTAAGCTGGTGGATAAATATGAATAACCCACTTGTTTTAATAACCAGCTAATCACACGACCTGCTCAGGTCATCAATCATGCAAAGGCAAAGGACAGGGAGGACGATCCGGCCCCCCAGTGTCCGCCGTCAGGATGCGCCTTCAGTGGCCGCCGGGGCACCCCCTAGACTGATTGCTTGCCCCCCATCAAGGGTAGTGGGCGCACTGTTTGAAGCTTTGACTAGGCAGCCCTTGTTGGATTTTGGGAGTTTGGGTCGCAGCTTGGCAGCAGGCAACGCAGCAGACTGCGGACTTTGAGAGCAAGTGGTATCAACGAGCTGCGGCGATTAGGGAGAAGCACAAAGTCTCTCTGAGTTTCAAACCGTGCGCTGTTTTCTTTTTGTTTTTTATTGTTATTGTTTTGTTTTTTGTTTGTTTTTTTTGGTTTGTTTTATTTTGTTTGTTTTTCTTGTTTGTTTTTTGTTTGTTTTTTGTTTGTTTTTTGTTTGTTTTTTGTTTGTTTTTTAATTTTAATAATTATTTTCGATTTTCTAATGAATGAAGGTCTCTCGACGTCATAAAAATATGAAGCTTGTGACAAAAATGGCTATTTGATGAACTATGTATACGTAATGATTTGCTTTTGAATCCATAGAAATATGTGTGACTCAAACAGTAAATTCCATGATGCATCACGTGCATATACAGTAAATCCTATGAACCATCCAACTCATACTTCCATTCCATAACTGGTTCGTAGGGTTCATTCCATATCCATTTGTGACCGAAGCCACGTCTGCAGCGATCAAACAGCTTCTGCACATGGAATGTGTATCCACCTTTAAACACGAAACATGTGGAAAAACATATCAATTGCGGGAAAGCATGTTCTGACTCAACTCTCCATTTTTATCATTTTATCACTAGCATGGGTACAGCGGCGGCGGCACCGATGGATAAGAACCAAATAATAATTAAGAATTTTCCGACATGCCCTGGGGTTCTTAAGTGCTATATAGGTCAACAAAAATATGGAGATTGCGAACGAAGATCCCTGAAGTTCTTAGTGACTTAGTTCTTAATCATTACTTCCGGTAAGCCCCGGTGTTGTGTTCTTTTCTCGAACTTTCGGACCTGACCACCTATTTCTTTTTTGCATTTTCTGTGAGAACCGAAACAGTGGTTTCGCTTTACATTACATTTGTGGAACTATACCTTCAATTTAGGCACCTGAGATTTGCTGTTGGTCCATATTTGTATTCACCCTTCACTGTGATACCTCAAACTATCATAAACTATCTAAATCGCAAACAAAACATAATTCAATCATACTCAAAGCATCTTTCAGAACTCAAACCATCAGAAATCTCAAGAAACCGAAGACATTTTCCCAACTCTCTCGGTGCTCCCGGTTCCCGGTTCTCGTGACACCTTTCAGGTGGACCTCCATCGCCCAATAGGAGGGAGGTGCGCGATAACCAGCCTCTGGTTATGACTCACCGAACGGGAAGTGGAAAAGCACCATTTTTTTCAAAGGCAAATCATGAGTAAATCATTAGTAAATCACCAACAATTTTATGATATCCAATTGGGACATCGAAAACCCAAAGCACCACTTTTATCCATTTTTATTATCTTCAATTGGGACAGCGAAATACCAAAGCTATGCAACAAATAACCGTATACGGGTATACCCTCAAATGAAGAGTTTGACCCTGAAAACCTGAACATAGGGTATAAACTCGTGGAAACCCTGAGAGATTTAGTTTCTCCCTGACAATGTTTGGTGGAAATTCATCTTCTAAAGCCAATGGGCAATGGCAGGGTCTGTCATTTTTCTGGGCAATGTGGATTGATCCAGGATGAAATGAGGATGTATATATATATATATTATACATATATTATCATGAATGAGAAATCCACATATATCATACCCTTGGGTAGACACCCCAAAAGGCCAGTTAAAAAAGGAACATGATGCTTAGCCACTGGATTTAGGGGTGCCCTATTTTCAGACAAACCCCTGCTAGTCATCGGGATTATTCATAATAGGGGAGATTACGAGGGCTAACATGGGTACTTAACTGTGGGATTCGACCATCAAACATGATATTAAACCTCATCATCTAACATCATCGAACTCATCTAGCCAACATCATCTAACATCAACTCAAACATGATCTACCCCCTGGTAAATCAACAGTTGGACCCTGAAAATCACCGTCATTTTTAATGGTTTCACAAGTCTTCCAATCCCGACAACTGCCAGGGTCTATGTTCAAACATAGGGATTTAATCAAAAGATGTGGGGCCCGGAGTCGCATCACGCCGTTAAGGAAGTCAAGGCTTCCGGCTTCGTCTTTGTTCCGGATGAAGGTTGAATGAGTTGTTGAATTAAATCATCAATTGAACGTACGCCCTTCTTAAAGATCAACGTATTATGTTGAGTCAACATAGAGTGGTCCCTGAAAAGAATTTACTCTGATTTTTTATTATTTGGTGGACGCTCCATATCTTCAGCTCGTCGCAACGTTGGTTTCCGACTTTCTAGTGTGCAGTTGCTAGTTGCTATGACGAACAACTTCAGGTTTGAAATGTGCTGTTCTCTATGGTGAACAATTTGCTGTCCATTTTGCTGCCATGGTTTCTGCAAGCTTTTCTCGCACAGTTCTTCTCCAAAGTGATGGCTGTGCTGTGGCGTGTGGCTTGTGTGGCTACGTCGTCCCGGCTCTGGATGTCGGATTCGCATACACCCAAGTCTCTGCAGGCTTCACTCATGCAGTGCTTCTCAGAAGTGATGGCAGTGCTGTGGCTTGTGGAGGTAATAGTGACGGGCAATGCGACGTTCCCCCTCTGGATGCTGGAACGTCATACATTCAAGTTTCTGCAGGTTTGAAGCATACTGTTCTTCTCAGAAGTGATGGCAGTGCTGTAGCTTGCGGAAGAAATAGCGAAGGACAATGCGACATTCCCCCTCTGGATGCTGGAATGTCATACACTCAGGTTTCTGCAGGGGGACTTCACACGGTTTTTCTCCGCAGTGACGGTAGTGCTGTTGCTTCTGGGTTCAATGGGAATCAACAATGCACCATTCCACCCTTGAATGACGGAATGTCATACACCCAGGTTTCTGCAGGCGGGCTCTACACAATGCTTCTTCAAAGTGATGGCCGTGCTGTTGCTTGTGGAAATAATGAACATGGACAATGTCACATTCCACCTTTAGATGAGGCAGTTTCATACACTCAGATTTCTGCAGGTTTAAATCATACTGTGCTTCTCCGAAGTGACGGCTGTGCGGTTGCTTGTGGATTGAATGATGGCCAAAAATGCAACATTCCACAGCTAGAGGAAGTGAAACGTCCTGCTGCGCCCCCGCCATCCCAACCTAGCCGTAAGAAAGAAAGAGCCGGGCCTAGCCCGAAGAAATTGGTGTTTCCTGGATTCACTACTTTGGATTGCGGGGCTGATGGCTCATGTGGTTTTAATTGTATTGCTGTTGGCGCAGCAATCATGCGCGGTGGTAAATTCAAGGATTTGGAACCAAAGAAGGCGACCATGGGCGCAACCCTTCGTGTCCAAGTGGCTCAGCATATTGCCAAGTCGCAACAGGATTATAAACCCCTTTGGTCTGCTGATGTTTCAAATACTTCTGTCGCTAAGGAAGATGGTGATATACCCACTACGTGGGAGTCTTGGTTGCATGCCATTCGACGCCATCGGCGTTGGATTTGCGGTTTGACGATCAAGGCTGCGGCCACCCGGCTTGGTATCAAGATTGTGGTTGTTCTGAAGGCTCAAGATGGCAGTTGGGGTTCTCCCATGGCTTTCGGCACTTGTCAAAGGAAAGAGCACCCTGTCATTCTTGGGCTTGACGAGTCAGCTGGCCATTACATTTTGTTGGTTGCTAACACCCCAGACGATGTCCCGGTGTCATGGACATCTGCTGGGCAGGTGGAGTTTACTAGCCAGAATATTCTGAGGGGTGCTGGTGGCAGCGACAAGGCATCTTCTGCTCGGTGGCTTCCTTCTGTGACCCCTTCCAGGGGATCTGCTGCGGGCAGTGAAAGCAACAAAGCCTTATCGGTGCAATGGTTACCTCCGGCAACTCCTTCTCGTGGGTCTTCTGCTCAGGGTTCTCAGCCGGCTAGGCATGCGAAATCTGCTACGAAAGACAAACATGTTGCTGGTAGTGTTGTTGGTGACAGTTTTTGGTTGCCTGCTGATACGCCTGGTCGTGCTCTGTCTTCTGAAGTACGTTCGGTTCGTTCTAAGCGTAAAGTTGAGGACATGCTTGAATGTGATGATGAAGTTCAAACGGTTGAGCCATGTTCATGGACTTGTCAGATTTGTCATTTGCGGATTGAAGCAGCCACTAAGCCAAGTCTCACTCAAAAACGTGCCGATCACATCAAGTATCGGCACAAAGGACATAACTTTGAAGCTGGCGAAATCCGCGAACGGGTCGAGGGTTGCTTCTGCTGACATTCCTTTAAAGGAACGCGTGTGGAGTTGCCCCTATTGTGATGTGGGGCTTCCCCATATGACTAGGTATGCTTTGACGATAAGTAAGCAGGCCCACATGTCCACTGTTCACAAACGCAAACTCAGTGGAGCTCAGGTGGCCAAAAAGATGTGGAAGAAGTGGCGGATCAATCCTGATTTGGTCCCTTCTTTGGCTGCGGGGCGGCTTGCGGCGTCCCTGAAAGTGAAAGCCAAAAACAGAGCCAAAATGGATCTGACCAAGAATGGGCATGACCTTGTGCCTGTTGAGCTTGATTGGTCGGCTTGGCCGGCCGCTTCGGCGTCCAGTCGTCGTCAGTTGGTTGGTCTTACTTGTCAAAAATGTTGGGTCATTTATCGAGGCTCTTGCCAAAATAAAAACAAGTGTAAAGGTTCTGAAGGTAAACTTTCTTTCCCTCAAGTAAGTTTGTGGAATAGGTTGCGTGGGAATGTCAACCGCCCAAAATTGTTGCAGGCCTGGGGGGTCACCGAAATTCAGGCTGATGCACGTTTTGCTGCGTCGGCTGGTTCAACTCTTAAGCTTGGTTTTGACCCCAAAGGCCACGATTGGCATGAATTGTATGTTGATGCGGCAAAGTATTATCCTGGCAAAGCTTCCAAAAAGAAAGTCAAGTTGTTCACTTGCGTTCAATGTCGGTTCTTTGCTAAAAGTGTGTCTGGTGCTGGTCAGTGTTCTGGCCTAAGTAGGAAAGTTCCCGGGAAAACGGTCGACAAGTGGGAGTCCTTAAAGGCGTCCCCGTCGGTCCGAAGGTCTTTGGCTGAAATTTGGGGCATTTCTGTGGCTGATGCCACCACTTGGCATCGGTCAAATTCCCAGGGATGGAAAAAAGACCTCACTCAGGATGGCGATGTTCATCCTAATCCCGGACCTCAGTTGCATGTTGTGTCTATCAACGTTGGTGGGCTTTCTGGAACTTGGCGAGCTGTTAACGAATTTCTCTCTGCGGGAAAAGTTGATGTGCTTGGTGTGCAGGAGGTTGCTGCTTCTGAATCAGAACTGTTGGCTTTGCGTCGCACTGCTTTAAAATGTGGTTATCGTATGTTTTGCGCAGCTGGCAGCCCCACCCGCGATGGTTGGGGTGCGGTTCGTCAGCGTGGTGGTGTGGCCTTATTTGCGCGCCTTCAATTTAAGATCCGTCCGGCTTTTTCGTTTGCTGGCTTGGATTCTCAGTGCGTTGGTGTGTGGCTGGAAGGGTGGTTCTTGGCTACTGCCTATGCTCCGCCTGGTTACAATGATGAGCCAGTGCTTGAACTTGCCTCTGGGTTGTTAGAATGGTTCTCTACATCTGTTCCTTCTTCTCAACCTTGGTTGGTTTTTGGTGACTTCAATGAACTTGTTGGGTCGAGTAAAGTTGAAATTGCGCTTTCTGCTTTCGGTGGCGTTGCTGTGTCTGTTGGCAAACCCACGAGATGGGAAAGCGAAAGATGCGTGGATTGGGCTCTCACTAACCGCCCTTTGGTGTGTGAGAAGCCTGTCCTTCTCTCTGTTGCCTTGAGTGATCATATCCCTGTTTCCTTGAATCTCAATCATGTTGGGTATCAGGTCAAATTGGGGTCTTTAGCTCGCACTGCGCAGTTGGCTTGTCCTCATGGTGTTGACCGTGCCTTGTGGGAAAAGGCCATTTTGGCTTGTTGGAATGACAATGTTGAAATTCAGGCTTTCATAGCTCATCTTGAAACTACTGTTGACATTTCTGTTCAAGAAGAGTGGGATCGGTTTCAACACTTGCTTACGTGTTGCATTTTGGATGCATATGATTGGCTTAGCAAGGTGGGCTTGCTTTCGTTTGAGGTTCGATCTATGTGCTCGCGTTTGGCGCGTCAAACTGTTTGGAAGGGCCAGCTTGCCGTGTATAAGCGTTCTTCTTGCGCCCAGGCTGGTGTCCGGCATCATGTTGGTGAACTTGCTGTGAGGAAGAAGCGGCGGTTGTTGGCCCGGTGCTTTCAATATAAACGTTTGCTGTCTCGCAGTTTGGCCTCAATTTTGTCGGCTGTTCAGGCTATGGAGCTTGCTGCCCTCAAAAGGCAGTTGAGCAAAGTCTTTGGTGATAATTTGTCTTTGCGGCATGTCCTCGAGCATATCGCTACCATTCAGGGTGATTTGCGTAGGCTTGAAGAGTCTGCTCGCGCTGCCAACATCACCCGTTGGCGTCGCCAGATGGTCTCTGCGGGTGCTGAGTTGTCGCGGTGGCTCAAAAATCGCTCAACTCCCGTTGGTGTCTCAGTCATTAATCTGCACGGGTGTTTGGCTGAATCTGATGTGGAAGCTGCTGAAGCAGTTCATGGGTATTGGGTTGATTTCTGGAATCAAGCTCGTGAACGTCAACCTAGTTTGTCGGACCGCGTTGCTTCCATGCTTGCGGGTCTTCCTTCTAGCGCTGCTTGTTCTTGGGAACCACCTTCCCCCCAATGTCTCCGAGCCATCGCTGTTGATGGGAAAGGAAGTCACGGGCCGGATGGCTGGGTTTCGCGTGAAGTTGCTTTGTTGCCTTTTGAAATCTTCAAAGTGTTTGCTGTCCTTGGCAAACGTTGGATGTTGAGCGGCAATGTGCCCGCTCAATTTTTTGAAAGTAGGATGATTTCTTTGGCCAAGCCTGGTAAGGTCAATGCTTTGAACCAGATCTCAGTTAAACATTTGAGGCCCATCACTGTGATGTCGGTCTGGTGGCGAATCTGGGCTAGCGCTTGGGCCAAAGGCTGTTTGCGTGAGTGGATGCAGCAACATGTGCCGCGACATTTTGCTGTTGCTCATGCTGTGTCTACTGGGGAGGTCGTTGTTGATCTTTTGGATAAATTGATGGCTGGGGGTTACCTTGCTAGCTTGGATTACTCCAAAGCTTACGATTTGCTTGATCCCAGTGTCACCAAAGCCCTCATGATTCATTTGGGCTGGGATCCCAGCTTTGTTGAGGTTGCTACCAAGGTTTGGCTTCATCAGGAACGTTGGGTTTCTTTTGGGGTTCACACTCATGTCACCCGCACCCCTGTGGCGCCAGCCATGCCTCAAGGGGATCCGTTGGGCCCGTTGGTGATGGCTTTGTGGACTTGGGGCGGTTGGGCGTCTGTTGAAAGTGTTTGCAACAGTCGTGATTCAATTTTGTCTCGCGTCTTTGTTGATGACCGTGCTTTTGTTGGCCCGCGGGTTTGGGCTCTCATGGAACGCTTCCATGCTTGGTGCGCTTGGTCTTTTTCGGTTGGCTTGCTTGAAAATCAACAAAAAACTGTGGTGGTTGCTTCCACGCCGGCACGAAGAGCCACTCTTCGGAAACATTGGCCGGACTACGTTGCCACTAATACTGAATTGCTTGGTTCTTGTAGCATGGTTGCTTGTCGTGGCTTGATGCCCAAGGAGTTGGAACGTGTGAATGCGTGCAAGCGGGTTTTGACTTTGCTTGCTTGTATCGGTATGCCGTTTGAACCTTACATGCGTGCCTGTCGGAGCTTTGCTGTCTCTAAAGTGGCTTATGGGTGGATTGCTAGGGCTCCTCCTTTGACGTTGTGCAAAGCCCTTTTTTCGTGTGTGCACATGGGTAGTCGGCGGTTGCGAAGCGCCTCTGTCTGGCTTCGGGCAGCTCTTTTCGGTGGTGGGCTTCACTTGGACGTGTTGTTTGCTACTCAGTTGGTTGGAATTCTGTCTCGTGTTCAGCGCAGGAGGGCTTTGACTTGGTCTTCTGTGTCTGGAACGCCTGCTCGCGCGTTGAAGGATTGGCTTTGTTCTCATGGATGGATCTTTGACGCTGACTGGAAATGGAGTCATGCTTTGTCGCGTTCTGTTCTTGATTTTACTGTCGTTGATAATGCCGGTGCTCGTCAACATGTGGTCCGTACTGCTTGGCGCGCTTGGTGTCTCAACAAACATTGTCAATCCACTCGGCGGGACAATAATCTTGATTGCTTTGAAAACGGTTTGTTTCACAGAATTGATTGGGATGGTATTCGGAAATTTGCGGCTTCTGGGCCGGAGGCGCGTGCTTTGGCGACAGGGGGTTCTTTTTCTCCTGCTGCGTTGCACAGTGCCCAAAATCTTGATGTTGCTGACACTTGTATTTGGCCTGGGTGTCATGACGTTGGCAGTTTTGACCATATTGCTTGGTCTTGTCCTTGTCGTCCATGCAACATGGATATCCCGCCCAAGCCGGGTGAGTTTCTTGTGGCTCGGTTTGGGTGGGTCATTTCTCGTGTGGATGCTGACATGGATCGTGTTCATGCTTGGCTTGTTTTTGTGCAGCGAACCATTTGGGAACTTCGGCATGGCTCTTAACGTGCTATGCTGATCCCTGCATGGTTTACTGTTGATGTCGTTTGCGATGGCCTGGGGTTCCCCCCTTTTGTTTTGGGGTTGATTACTGGCGGGTCTTTTGGTATTTGTTCAGGGCTTTTTAGCTCTGTGGATTGGGTGGCGGCGCTGTTCACTCAGTGCCCGTCCACGTGCGCTACTCATTTGGGGGTAGTTCACTAGTAAAGTTTCACATACACCCAGGTTTCTGCAGGCTGTGGTCACACTGTTCTTCTCCAGTCTGACGGTCGTGCAGTTGCTTGCGGAAGTAACACATATGGAGAATGCAACATTCCATCTCTGGAACAAGATGGATCAGGGATTTACTACATTGGCGATGTGTTACCTCGTCGAGACCTTGTGTTGCAACTGGAATTCTTTTGTGAAGATGAAGTGCTGGTGCTAACATGCTCTGGTTTGACTGGAGAAGAGCTGCTACGCTTAAACGCGTCCGGCTCTGATCTTGCCTGGAATACTCATAAGCACATTGCCCGCGAATTGAATCTTTGCCTCCAGGATCTTCGCTTGGTCTTGCCCAATGGAGAGTTGTTGGCCTCGGTTTGTCGTGCAAATCCAGTGGTCACGCTTGCAGATGTGAGTGAAACTCGCAAGCGTCGGCGTCTCACCTAGCATATCCCAGCGAACAGCTTTGAGACTTCAGGCTTCGCCGCTGGTTCTCTGAGTAAAGCTCGGCACTGCGTTGTTCATTTTTTTTGTGTGTGCCATATTCATCCACATTCTCTTTCTTGGCCATAATTCTGGTACATTCTGGAAAAATTGACTGTAAATTACTGTAAGAGACTGTAAGCACTAATTAGACTCAATGCAGGGCATCTATACAATAGATTTGCCAAATACTCGCCGAGAAGTAAATGCGTAGCAGGATTGGTTTCTCTATTTTGAGGCAGAACTACAAACTGAACATCCCACTTGTGCGGGGTCAACAAGTGCTCAGCTGTGGTTGGAACTCCGCACATGGTAATGACGCAATGCTTATGTATATGTGTGTATATATAAATACAATAAAAATACATATCCATATAATATAATATGATTTACTATGATATATCTATTATAATTTTGTATTAGATAATATAATATATAATTCTAAACAAAATATTATAAAATATCTAATATAATATAGAATACTATCAAGTATGATATGATATGATATGATATGATTTGATATGGTATAATAAAGTATAACATACATATATATATATATGTATATACTTAAATGATAAATGATATAATATGATTTAGTATAATATATAATAAATAATAGAATATATAATACATATACTATATACTATATATAATACAATATAATAAATACTTTATTATATATGATATGTCAACTATAATATACAACAAATAATAAATAATATATAATATAGAATATATAGTATATATTATATAGTATATAATATATAATATATTGTATATATTATATAGTATTTGATATATAATATAAATATATATAGTGAATGATATAAAATGATTTAAACATATTAAATATATTTAATATAGTATATGGATGTAACATAATATATAACATATAATATAAGAAATAATATAAAATGTACTGAAATATAAGATATAATAAAAATATAGTGTAAACTATGATATACAATATATAATATATAGTATATAATATATATTATATATATGAAATATAATATACAATATACAATATATAGTATATGATATATCATATAGAATATATGATATATAATATAAAACATATATTACGATATAACTTATTTTATATTTAAATCTATATTATAATGTAATATGTATTTCTAATATGATATTATATATAATATAGTTAATAGATTTTAGAATATATATATATAATGCAATATATATATATAAGTAAGTCCATCTATCTCCTGACCATTTACTCTCCAGTTTTATCTCATTTTCACATGAACATTGGTTGAGTTTGTAGCGTACCACAGGGTACCCCCAAAAAATTGGCGGTTTCTTATCATTGTTCTGTGATCAGAATTGCTATCTTACCCTATTAGGGTGTCTCCATGTTTGGGCAAACCCTTGCCTACAAAATAACTATTTTTTATTTATGCTGTATGGATCCAATAAAGGTAGTCCCCCCAGTAGCAAGTGCCATGGCGGGATTGCAATCCCTAGCGCCTTATTTGTTTGAGAGCGAGCACCCTAAAAAAGGAATCCACCGAATATCATCAATGTATTGTATGATTTAGGGAACGATATGGACTTGCTAAGATTAACTACTCGTGTGTCTGAAAATGGTTTGAAGCAACACACATGGTGAGACACTGTTCACTTGCCCAGATTACCCACCTGGAGATGTTTTTTTGGTTAGCTCAGTATCCCATTTTATATCGGGATGGGTCAAAAACTGCTATCGTATTTGGGAAAATGAAGATCCATTAACCTGACATTTTCAGGGTAACGTTTGGGGCCCAGGGTTTTGACTCATAGCAATCTGTATATATATATAGATATATAATCCCATGGTTGTTGGTCAAGACATCTCCTTTTCTTGGTGAAAATCCCCATGCTTGCCCCCAACCGTGCCAGCCGGGTTCTGGCCGTGCACAAGCCTCTTGAGCAAAATCCAGGGCTGTGCCAGATTGTACCAGGGTCGAAAACATGGGTTGTTTTTCAATAAAAGATATTGGTCATCCATTTTCATAGAAAGTTATATATACACATACGCTCCATTTTCATATATATATATACATACACATATACGCTCCATTTTCATAGAGGCCATAGAGGGTTTTACATAGAATATATGTTCTTTGGATTCCAACATGACAATGACCATGCTGAGAATCCCTCTGGGTCCATGTTTAACCGTTGGACAGCTGTGATTTCACAAAGGACATTTCTGGAAGTTTGTTTGAATAGTAGTTCACATAAAACGATATAAAACGCATCCAAAACCGGATTTTCACTAAATCAAAGTATACTTATACCAGTCAATCTTCAAAGGCCCGTAGAAGTGGCTGGAACTTTCAGGAATTTTCAAGCAACGTTTTCGTAGAAAATCGGAATTGGATTGATGATGGCCAGTAGATTGGAGCTGATCGTGGGGTCATTGGTGTTGTCCACTTAGCCGACATGGTTATTTGATATGGTTATTTTCGTCAAAACGCTGGTACCCAAACGGTACCCTAAGTCATAGCTGGTTAATGGATGGTTATTCCCTCAAACTCAAATATGATAATTAGAGGGTTTTGACCCATCCCCGCATAGCTATGGTATGGATGGACCAGTTAGTTCCATGATTCATGATGATCTACCTTCAAACAACGGTGATTGTCCATAGAAAAATTAAATGACCAGAGGGTAACAAGTAGCTTCCAACAGTTTCTCATCCGAAGTATATAGCTGGACTATAACCCTGCCCAGTTTTTCAAACAGTATGTACGGGAAAGCTTTGCTCGGCCATAAATGATGTGATCAAGTGTGATCACATATTACCCTAAACAGCTAAAAGGAAGAGTGTTGTGCAAGGTATCCAAGCCTCGCCATGTCACCTGCCATCCGTAGAACGTAGAACGGGGAGAGGAACCTCTAGAAAGATAGATGGGTGTGTACCCATCAGCCATCAAACAGCCAGGGAAATTCCCATTGCAAAAAACCATCAGACAAAGCCCATATTTTGTCACGATTTCAACTAATTTCCCAAGGACCCAAGGGTAACAACCTGGTTGGTGGTTTGGAACATTTTTTAATTTTCCATATATTGGGAAGAATAATCCCATTTGACTTTAATATTTTTCAGAGGGGTAGGTAGGTCAACCACGAACCAGAAAGTAACGGCCCAAACGGTGTGGTCTTTCGGTCGGTTGTTCTCTTAGGTCGCAGAGTTCGAGTTTGACTTCAGCATTCACGACCTGGTGGGACGACAAGTTCTGGAAAATCTTCGGGCTTGGTACCGCCCCAATGCAGGCGGAAAGCTGCTACGGTTCAGGTGAGAAAGTTGGGTTCGTTTACAGAAACACCATGGGCATTTTGAGAATTCATCAGATTTTTGAATGGGGAATTCGTGGCAAAAGCCGTGGGAGCAAAGATGGTGACTGGTAGATGGCAAACCTCTGGGTTGTAGATAGTTTCATAGGGAGAATCATGGGATTTACCAGCATTTTTCAGGACCTCGTTGGTGGCTCATCCATCCCACTTTTTTGTGGCTTATTTTCTTGTGGTTCATGAGATTTTTGTGGGCTTCTTCCGTAAAGAAACTGAGGTGAGTCAGAAGCCACTTACCATCAAGTAGTGGATGAATTCCGGTGAATCGATGCGACCTTTTGAAAAAACCTTTGGGCTCCGAAAACAGCGCCCATCTTCCAGATGCACACTCTGGTAATCACACGTGGCAATGGAAAATACTGTAGCCTATACCCTCTGGTAAACGTTTACATAACTATGTAAAATCACCATTTTGAATGGGACAACTCACTATTTCTATGGCCATTTTCAATAGCTTTTTGTATGTTTACCAGAGGGGACATAAATGGATATAAATGGAGGTTTTAAGCCCGATGATGGAAGTATATGCACACATTCTGTTGGGTTTATGAAATAGAATGTGTTCCCATGTTTTCCCTAGATTTCCCATGTTTGCTGATTCAAAAACCAGGTATTCTGAATTCGAAAATTAATGGTTGATGATCAAAATCCCCGTGCTGATGGTGATTTCTCATGGCTAACTCCAGATACTTTCAGCTGGTGAATCACCATGTTTGTGACACTCAACTCCCCCATCTTTCAGATGATTGGATCCCACTTTTGGTTGGTGAAAACTCCCTTTTAAGTTGTTTATGCAAAATCCCCCGAAATCTGTTGATGAAAACCACCCATATTTTTGTTCATTAGATCACTGAATCCGAATTTTCGTTGATTCAGTTTCAACTTTCGTTGACTTAGTCACCATTTTTTGGTCGTTGACTCCCATGTTTTGCTTGCTGAACTCTCAATTTTTTTTGTTGCTGACCTCACCATGGCGACATCGCTAGGCAGTACAAGGGGCGAACAGCTGGCACAGGCTTTGGCGACCTTTGCCAAGGAGGTGCCGTTCGCAGCAAGAGAACTGGCTGAGCCAACAAAAGTGGGACAGAATGGTGATAGAATCAGAGATGGGATATTTCATGGGATATCGAATATGAGTGGGATATTTCATAGGATATGAATCGAATATGATTAAATTTAGTGGTATATAATGGGATATCAACCGAATATTAGTGGGATATAAACGGGATATGATGGAATATGGCTGCAATAACCAACAAAATGTAGATGGATGAAGGGATGGAATGACATGTCTAGTTGTAAAAATACCAAGTGGGATACCCTCTGGTAAACTAACATAGCTATGGCAAATCACCATCTTCAATGGGTAAATCCACTATAAACGGCAATTTTCAATAGCTATGTTAAATTACCAGAGGGTAAGTGGGATATATCTAAAAAAGAGATGGATATAGTGCGAGATGAATAGAATATGAATCGATATACATGGACTATTAGTCACCAATACTGGCGATGTCTGGATGAATTTGATCATACGGGGATTTGGGGATTTGGGTCAAATTGACTTGGAGAACCAATTGCGATGTGACGGGATACCCTCTGGTAAACGTTTACAAAAAACTATTGAAAATCAGCATTTTGAATGGGTAAATCAACGAACTAAATGACCATTTTCAATAGCTATGTTTGTTTACCAGAGGGTAACTTAAATACAGCCAACCATCATGGAACCGTCGGTGCGAAGTATGGATGGTACCTCCTTAACCTTTTGCTAGTTGGCTTTCAGGTACTACAGGGTTCCAAGGTTGCAAACATCCAAACATAATTCCGCGGTTCCACGCCGCAAGTTTCCAGAGTTACAGTACAACTTGAGGGTGTATCCCACTTTGTCGGCAATATTCATCCTCTAAATTGATTTACTCTTCAAGAAGAGTAAATCAATTCCCATTGCATGGGCCGTTCATGCCAGACCTATGTATAGTATTCCCAGCAAATATCCCAGTGATATTCCCATAGACAGCAAAAAATATGGATATAGGTCAAAACATTAGGTACAACAATTAGATGTTTCATACTAAACATACACATTTCAATCTATCTGTGGTCCCTCATCCAGCTATTGGGATAGCCCCATTGCAGGAAACCCCGGGGCCAGGCCTTATCCGCCTTTGCTTCGGGACGCCTCATGCCGGACGGATGGGAATCTGTCCACGGGGAATTGAAGAAGGATTTAAATGATCAATTTCTCCATGTGGATGTGTTTATAATTGTATTTGCTTATGTATATATTTATATTTAATGAATATATATATATATATACATATTATGATTAAATACATTATGAATATATAAGCATATACATTATGAATATATATATAATGGATATATCTATATTCATATATGTATATATTCATATATAATGAATATACATATATATACACATTATGAATATATATACATATATATATATACATTATTTACTATTATGAATATATATATATATACATTATTTATTATTATGTGTATATATATATATTATGAATTTATGTATATATATATAGACATATATATATATATATATCTATACATTTTATGATTTATATATATATATATATTCATAATATATATATATACACATTATTAATATATTTATAGCAATATATATATATATACAGACACACATTCATACATGCATGCATGACTGCATGCATACACGCACACATTTACACGTGTCATGAATATGCTAGTCATCTAGAGAGTACAACCTAGTTAACCATTGAAACATGTATTTGGACAATTGTAGGGACCAGTAATCGCAGACATCGAGCCCCAAAAACGAGTGAACTGTAGCTTAACTGCAGTTATTTCTGGGACATATCGAACTAGTTCGACGGGGCAATAGAAACCAGTTTAGTTGTTGTTTGTTTCAACCATCGAATTCTTCCGTACGCAATTTGATCCCAAGTCTGCGTCGCAGGATGACAAGAATAAGTTGCTACCCGAAGCAAAAAGGCTCCTGATCGAAATGACAAAGCAAGGCTTCATTCAGATATTGAGAGGTGCTTGGTGGGGCGGGGGGAGGGGACAACTACAGTAGGGGTTGGCCAATCCCTTGGTTTTCCCCACTTGTTTTTTTCTGGGAATAGTGTGCCCACAAAAATTGCTTGAACACTTTATTTTCCCCATCAAAAAATAGCACTACTGTGGTTAAAACAATGTCATAAACCACCCATGACTGGGAATGGTAACCATATCACCTATAAAAATGGTGATGACTGGGGGATGGTTTATCACATTGTTTTCACCACATTACTGTGGGTATACCCCAATTTCAGACACTAAAATCATATCAACTTGGTGATCAATCCCATCAAATACAGTATCCCATATCCCAATTTTACTTCATGAAACCCAACAAAATATCCATAGAATATCCACATGTTTGTTGGTGCTGTTAAACCAACCATTTTCACACACCAGCTGGTGTACATACTTTATTTAATTTGCATGTGTTAGGTCACATACCTGATTATTTCCCAGAAAAAACCCTGTCTCGATTATATAATTATATCACAATCTTCCCGAGTAAAATCCACATTTCGTTTCACCTGATTTTATTACAGTTATGGCCAAAATACCAGTTGTAAGTCAGAGAATCATCCCATTTATGGATCATGTTAACCCTATTTATAACCACAAGAAGAATTAGTAAGTGGGTTATAAGCCTGATTATAAATGGTATAAGTAGGGTTAATCCACTAAAAAAACAGGGGTGAACTAACCCACTTACGATTCCTGGGATGAACCACCAAGTAGGTCAATCTTAGATGGGTAGTTTAATCCTTTAGTCTTTTGGTATGGGATACCAGTGACATACCATTGATATACCATTAACATTAGCTATTAACTATTCCATTAAATATTGAATATCATTTTCGACTGTAGGCATTTGACTGTAGGAGATTTGAATATCATCTTCGATGCCTTCGTCTATGACCCCAGCAGTCGCTACTGGACTCCCCAGCAGCTGCATTGGTGGGCCGGGTGGCGGGGCCCGAGATGGGTCGAATGGGTGGGATGTAGCGCTGCTGCACTGTGGTATGGGTTTAAAAAATGTGAAACCATGAGGTTATGTGAGTTACCGTTCCAAATTGCACTGGGCATGCATTTAATGGGAATATAATTGGGATATAATTACCAAGTAGTAAGTAGTGCTCCAAATACTCCCTACATGAAGGTCAGAAGAGACCCTATAATGTTCATCCATAATTAACATCTAAATGGGTGATTTATTATTGCTCATCATAATGTTCATCCATATAATAATATACCAACAGGAAACTAACCAGTCTCTTTAGTGGCCGCTGAATGTTGACTGTTCACCTATAGCCACGCCCATTGCAGGATTGGACACGAGGTGATTTGGCAAGACCTCGTGGTTGAATTTACTACTTGAGGGATGTTGAGGGAGGGATTCCCTATCTGTAAGCTGTAGCATGGTATAGTGGTCATTCTCAGCCTGGTAGTGTGGCCCCAGTCTTACTCATCCAGCTGGACATTGATTTGGAACGATGGCTAGCAACTACACACAACTCAAAGACATGGCACCATGGCTAGCTAGAGTTGGGTGCTTACCCTCTGGTAAACTAACATAGCGAACTGGAAAATCACCATTTTTATTCGGTAAATCAACTATTTCTATGGGTCATTTTCCATAGTTATGTAACAAATTACCAGAGGTTAGATCCCACTCAGTTGGTTTTCCTACTTGGATCATCCCTCTTCGTGCAAGCCCTGGGTTTTCCCATCGACCATTCGATAGCCCCAGTTACGAAGCACTCAAGTGGGATGATCCTCCCCAAGATGAAGGCAGACCTCAACAGAAGCCGATTTCGACCGGACACCAATCTACCAAACCCCCATTTGGTAGGGTCTATGTTAGTTTGGAGGGTATCGACTTATTGATGCTTTCAGTATGTTTCAGTTATTCCCATAGCACCCCCATACATCTCCATCATGGGCTTGTATACAAAACCCCAGAAGAAACCAACACACATTTTGACCCAGGGGCGATGTAAACTGTATCAAGTCTGGGCGCACTCAAAAACGCTCCCTGTTCTGGTCGTGATTTTGGATGGCTCCAAGCGATCAAGAAAACCATATGTTTCATGGCTTACCAGGTAAGGTAATCAAACATCGCAATGGAAAATCCATGAAATTCCCTTGATTTTCCATCTAAAGTGTCCATTTTTGCCGGATTTTCCAGCCTGACATGTGAGAAATTGCTGCAAGGCATGTATTTGCCCTTCATGTAAAATCCCAAGGTCGGGTACAGTACCGTTGCTTTGTCAAAACTTCCGTGGGGGCAATTCAGGTCCATGGTTCAGTTGATCAAGTTTGTTCTCGAGAATTCATCACCTTCCGAGCAAGAGAGCTGGAAGGCCACTGGCGCCAGGATGGCGCTCAATTTGGTGGTGCAAATACGAGGGTTTTAAGAAGTACGAGGGATTTTAAGTGCTTTACCATATGCCTGACCATCAATATTGTCACACGAGTTGGCCCCCAGTGAAATTTGTTTCTTGGCGGTGTGTGATCCCTGGAAGAAACCTAACTATGGGGCAGCACATGGCTATCCTACGACCCAGCGACTTGGTAGACCTCGGCTGGCTTCGAGGTTTGGAACTGTGAGGATCAAGGAGATTATAAGATTTTTTAGGATGCATGCCCAAAATGAATAGAGAGATATAGAGAGTAATTATATTGTATTCAATAACATTATACAATCATGATGTCTGCCAACCTCAGTATTACATGTTTGTTCTCGCGGTACGGGTATGTAGTATTTCATCATTAATCTTATTACACTATTGCCATAAATGCGTTCACACAATATCATACCATCTCATGCCATGCCATGCGATTCCATTCCATTTTATTCCGTTTCATGTTATGAGCAAATGTGGTCGACCCAAAACCACAAAGCGTCCTTATTGGGGTATCCCGCTATTCGAGATGTAACACGACGCCAAATGGTAACCCCAAATGCTAACTGGCAATCACTGTGGGTTAAAACTCAGACACTTGAATAGGCGCGGCAGAAAACTCAACTCTAAAACCTCAGCACAACCCCAGCAATCAACCGCAATCAACCATTGCTGGAGATTGCCATTGGTAAACTCAAACCCCAAACGTCCACGTCCGTCAAGGACAACGCGCGCCGACAGCTGGCTGACGAAGACAGCGAGTACTACACCCGGGTGGATGTGCGCGCGTGGCCACAGTTGAGGCCGAGAGTCGGGGCCCTGGGTGAATCTTTGTGAATGGCAAATTGGTTACTGAGTTGTTGTTGTTGTTGTTGTTGTTGTTGTTGTTGTTGGTCTTGTTGGTCTTGTTGGTCTTGTTCTTATTCTTGTTGTTGTTGCTGTTGTTGTTGTTGTTGAACTGTTGGTTGTGGGGGTGGGCTTCTTGTTTTTGTTTTTGTTGTTGTTGTTGTTGTTGTTGGTCTTGTTAGTCTTGTTGGCCTTGTTGGTCTTGTTCTTATTCTTGTTGTTGTTGCTGCTGTTGTTGCTGTTAAACTGTTGGTTGTGGGGGTGGGGTTCTTGTTTTTGTTTTTGTTGTTGTTGCTGTTGGTCTTGTTGGCCTTGTTGGTCTTGTTCTTATTCTTGTTGTTGTTGCTGCTGTTGTTGCTGTTGAACTGTTGGTTGTGGGGGTGGGGTTCTTGTTTTTGTTGTTGTTGTTGCTGTTGGTCTTGTTGGTCTTGTTGGCCTTGTTGGTCTTGTTCTTATTCTTGTTGTTGCTGCTGTTGTTGCTGTTGAACTGTTGGTTGTGGGGGTGGAGTTCTTGTTCTTATTTTTGTTATTGTTGTTGTTGTTGTTGGTCTTGTTGGTCTTGTTGGCCTTGTTGGTCTTGTTCTTATTCTTGTTGTTGTTGCTGCTGTTGTTGCTGTTGAACTTTTGGTTGTGGGGGTGGAGTTCTTGTTTTTGGTGTTATTGTTGTTGTTGTTGTTGTTGGTGGTGGTGGTGTTCTTGTTGGCCTTGTTGGTCTTGTTCTTATTCTTGTTGTTGTTGTCGCTGCTGTTGTTGCTGTTGAACTGTTGGTTGTGGGGGTGGAGTTTTTGTTTTTGTTTTTGTTGTTGTTGTTGTTGTTGGTCTTGTTTGTCTTGTTGGCCTTGTTGGTATTGTTCTTATTCTTGTTGTTGTTGTTGCTGCTGTTGTTGCTGTTGTTGATGTTGAGCTGTTGGTTGTGGGGGTGGGGTTCTTGTTTTTGTTTTTGTTGTTGTTGTTGTTGCTATTGGTTTTGTTGGTCTTGTTGGCCTTGTTGGTCTTGTTCTTATTTTTGTTGTTGTTGTTGCTGCTGTTGTTGCTGCTGAACTGTTGGTTGTGGGGGTGGAGTTCTTGTTTTTGTTAATGTTGTTGTTGTTGTGGTTGACGTTGTTGAAGTTGTTGTTGTTGTTGTTGTTGTTCTTCTTCTTCTTCGTTTTCTTTTCCTTCTTCTTCTTCTTCTTCTTGTTGTTGTTGTTGTTCTTGATGTTGCTCTTGTTGTTGCTCTTGTTGTTGCTCTTGTTGTTGCTCTTGTTATTGTTCTTCTTGTTGTTCTTCGTGTTGTTGTTTCCTGACCCTGGACACTGCAGCTTTGGAGCTTCCATTTGGGTCTTTGTGAAAATGGGGTATACTTCCCCTAGATAACAATTTTATATAATGAAAATGATCATCAACCATCACTTTGAGGGCACCCTGTTTTCAGACAAAACCATGTCATTTTTTTTTAAAGGTTTTGAGGTGTTTGTTATGTGAATCATCCAACATGTCTTTGCAAACATGTCCAGTGGAATGTGACTATTCTGTCCTATTCTTAGCCAAGAAACATAGGTGGTATTGCCTTGTCATGCCTTGTGGGTAATGAACCAACCACTCAAACAGTCTTTTCTTTGTATGAGAAGAACTGTTGAGTTGCAACCAAAACTCGTATTTCCCTTCCACCGTTTGTTTCGGCCATTGCTTGGTTAAGAAAAGTGTCTCCAGGGAAAATCAAAACACAACTACATCAATGAATTTATTTTTTTCTATATGCTACTTCAATCTTACCGGTGCTTAGCCCGCAGGGAATTTTCGGGAATGATCCAATCCATCACATTCGTAATCATCCCAGCAACCCCCAGCAACCAATCCAGCAACCCTATGGCCGCCTCACCCTGACGCTCGATGGGTCAACGATGAAAAAACCACCATGGTTTATAAACCCCACTAACTATGGATACATCATCATCTGATTGGTGGTATGGAACATTTGGATTATTTTTCCATATATTGGGAATGTCATCATCCCATTTGACTAATATTTTTCACAGAGTGTGAAACCACCAACCAGTCGTTATAAAAGATAAAACCTGCCAACTTAGCAAACGACCTGGTAATGAAACATGGCCAAGTGGAAATCCGCATTTAGTTCGATGATTGTTCGATTGAAGTGCTCAGTTGATGCTCATATCATTTAGTTCAGGGATTGCCCTGCCAGCCACTTTGACGATCGGAGGGTAAATCAATCTATCACTATCTACTTGGTGGTTCATCCTACTTAGTAAGTGGGTTATAACCGTAGTTATAAGTGGACTAAGCCTACTTATCCCATTTATCACCAGGGTTATAACCTACTTACTAAGTGGGATGAACCACCAACTATGATTATCCCGTGATTGCACAGGAATCTGGTGGATGGCACAGACACCCAGCTGCATGGTGGTGCCTTGTGCCGCCGCATTCGCGTGCAGCTCTGTGCACACGGTGCCGGGAGTGATTTCGGGTGCAGCATGGTGCCCGATACCCTCTAGTAAACATACAAAAAACGATTGAAAGTGGCCCAGTCGAAATAGTTGATTTACCCAGAAAAAATTTGGTGATTTTTCCATAGTTATGTTAGTTTACTAGAGGGTATCACCATTAATTATATATATATATATATATAAACTATCAGGATTCCCAATATGGGATGGATGATCATAAACCATATACATACACCATGTTTTTGACGGTGGCACATATCCATGTTTTATAATGTCAACCCTGGATTAATAAACCCCTTAGGAAGGTACCATTTAAGTATCAAATCATGACTATTGGAGGAATACCCCCTAATTGTCATAAACCATGGTTTATTCATCCGGGCCTGACACTATAATACTATAGTATAATGGGAGAGACGACCAACAATGTGACCATGTGGAGGTTAAACAATATATTGGCTGGCTGGGAAATGGCGGGAAGTTCATCATCGATGGTCGATGGGGGATGGATACCACTGAAGTGTGTGTGACTCACCAGAGGCTATTCTGAATGGTAAATCCCCAACATGGTGAAACATATGGTAAATTTAGCCTCTGGTAAACATATGGTAAATCACCAGAGGCTATTCTGAATGGAGAAACGGTAAACGTATGGTCATTTAGCAACCAAACCATGGTAAATCACCAACTCTCATGGGCCCATGGGGAGCCAGATGCCATACAGGTCATGGAGGCTGCAACGATGATCTTTATGGGGAGCCAGTTGGAGCTACGAATGTAGTTTACCAAATATAATGGAATGTGGGTCCCCACAGGTAAAAGTTGGTATATATATTTTTAAAGATATCAAACCCTTGAACTATGTTACATGAGTATATCATAAACCAATTTAGCTATCGTTTGGGGGCCCCACTTTGTAGAAAAGGACATCCATTCCCATCCAACTTGGTGCAGCCTTCGGTGGATGATTAAGATAAAACAGTAAATCCTGAAAATAGTGAATTTTTACCATTTTCTACAGTATCTCTTTTGTGATTATATACTATATACATTAATAGAAGTTCCTAGTTCTCGACTGACCCCATTTAGCAAAACCTTGAGAACCCCAATAAGTGGAGTATCCTGTTTTATTGTATCAGTTATGGCCATGGCTATTAGTTACAAGTTGGTATTTTTATGGGATTCTACATTCCATAAAGGGAAACGGGCCAGGCAGTGGTCCCTTCGAGAAATTGGCCGACCTGGAGCAAGCAGCCAAGCTCCTGAAGGAGTTACAGCTCTACCGTGACTTCAACCCTGAGGGGAGCACGGATCATGAGATCTACCAGACCTTTGGGGTGTCATGGCTGGGGAATTTTTTGGTTGATTTAGCCACAGTTCTGGCCTTTTTTGATCTTTTTTCCATCCCGCGAAGCGATGATAAAACATGGATTTGAGGTAAGTTGGGTGAACATCTTGGGGATATTTGGTGTTAATGTGTTTTGGGATGGGGTTGGGATTGACATGTGTAGGATTTGACAGAGCAGCCAGTAAATACTGCTTGTGTTTCCAGACAGTTACCCTCCGGCAATCAAAGATAGCAATGAAAATCCAGCATTTATGGATAAATTTCCTAGCTATAAACTATAAACCTCCCTTTGTAGGGGTTTCCCAGCTAGCCACTTTCTGAGGGGTCCGGAGGGAACACCAAATCTGTCATGAACCTCCCTGCTTCTCATGTTTGTTAGGCTGCTCGACTGTGTTACACACCCTATTTAAGTGCGAATGTAAATGTTGGTAGTTGAAACTGACATTCCATTTATATACTGAGTCAACCTTTGATCAGCATATAGTTTTCTACAATTCAATCAATCTTGTGCTATAAATGGGTATACAATGGTATACATACTGCCCAGCAAAACACATGTAGAGTATTTAAGTTTTCTCCGAGTTTTTTGCGCAGGGCCAAAATCCTTGTTGATGAGTTATTGTAGGGGGTTCTACTACCTAGTTTTTTTTCGATGCGTTTTTCATTTTTTAAATGTGCTTTTTTGTTGGGTTTAAGTCACACTGCTCATATGCCTTTAGGTGATGCCTAAAGTCCAGAATTCCGGAGGGATTTTTCCAGCCCCTGATCGCCATCGGGGGATCCCATGGACCATCATCCTTGACCTGCAGCATAGATGCCCTAGATTCGCCACCAGCATTTGGAGCTGGAGGTCACTAGCCTGTCTGATGGTTTAAAAACCCCAAACCGATCCATGACCAAAGAAACAAAAAGCGAATCTCTCCAAATTGTGGGGTTTGCTAAGGAGTCCCGATTTTCCTACTATGCATCACCATCATCACCATTATTAGCATATCAATACACGTTTATACATGATCTGTTCCCCAAAAAAACACTGACTACACTACTACCTCATTATCACTATATTGCATTCTCAGTACCACTACTGTACGCTTATTCAAACTCACCATATCATTTTTGATATTCATATAATTGATATATAATTTATATATACATGTATAGAGCCAAACACACAGCACTCGCAACATCTAGCCTGGTTCATTATATTCCACTATATAACCCATGAAAATCACCCTATAACTTTGCTGTCCACAACTCCATCCAAAAGCTTTGATGCCTTTGTTTGAAAATACTCTACCCCCAAACAAATAGCCATCAAAACAGGGGAAGGATCACAAACCATCAGCTGCCGGGGTTTTCTCCTAATTTTTCAGAACCCCTAGATTCTCCAAATACCCATCAAAGTGTGTATTTTAGCCCATATATGTTTGCTATTTTTACCATCTTCCCATTTTTCTGGCTTCAGTCAGGCCAAACTCCCAACAAAAGACCCATCCAAACATCGGTGTCTCATCACGATCCAATCCTGTCATGGCTGGCAACGGGCCGAGGACCGCAGCCTGAATTTGGAGAAACGCTCCGAACTCATGGAGCAAGTCCTCATGGACGCCCCTCGCTGCCTGGTGCGCCAGGTGCTTCGGAAGATGGACGAGGCGATGGTGGCATGGGCAGGTGGGAAAAATGTCGGAAAACCCATGGGAAAATCGTGGAGATTGGTGGAATGGCATCTGAATTTTTGGGGATCACCTGTAACTTTCCAATCAATTTAGACCATTTAGATCCATTTAGGCAGATAAACATCCACAAATGCCAGCTAGTTTAGTGTGCTCAGCAGGGTACCAGAGTCTTTTTTTCGAAACCATATGTAATGTGGGAAAGTCATGGATTTAATTCGTTTTTTTGGATATATTGAAATATTGGGTCGGTGGATGGGTAGATTGCTTCTTTTTGTTTCCTGCCATTTTGGGTTAGATGTGGGGGAATCTAGGAAAAAATAAGCTGAAGGACCGGTTGTGTGCAAGAGGTGTATGTGAAAGCCAGGTGCGCGAGAGCGTTGCGTGTGAAAGAGCTGTGCGGGAAAGAGGTGTGTGTGTGTGTCTGTGTGTGAAAGACTGTGTTTGAGAGATGTACCCTCTGGTAAACTAACATAACTATGGAAAATCACCATTTTTAATCGGTAAATCAACTATAAATGGCCATGTTCAATAGCTATGTTAGTTTACCAGAGGGTATGTGTTTGAGTCGTATGTGAAAGTATGGTGTGCGAGGAGTTGTTACAAATCCCCATTTTTGCTGGTGATCTCAGACTAGATTCTAGATCTCATGACAAACCCCAATGACTTCCCATTAAATCCACATGAATTCCTATTAAATCACCATTTTTGCTGGTTGCTTCTATTACATCCTTATTAAACCCCAATGATTTCCTATTAGTACCTGTTAACCCCTATCAAATCCCATTAAATCACCATTTCTGTTGGTTACAATGCCAACGGGCGATCTGGGTTGATCCTTCACACAGGACTTGGACGAGACGGAACGTTATGAAGACCGAGAACACAGGAGCCCAGAGTGCGGCTACGGCAAAGACAAAATGGGTTGGTGGGAGAATGGGCGAGAAGATCAATATATACAGTATATATATATATATGCAATCATACATATATATATATATATAAAATCATATTTATGTATAATCACATATATATGTAATTATATTTATATATAACATATATATATATATATCACATATATATATATATATCGAATCATATACAGTGTTATTTACATATGTATATACTGTTATTTATTTACCCTTTGGTAATCTAACATAGCAATGGAAAACCACCATTTCCGCTAAGTAAATCATCTACACATGTGCATTTTTTTGTGGTTATGTTACATTTCCAGACGGTAAAATGGAAATATCACCAGCAAAATGATCTGAGATTGATGTGGTTTTATTTTTGGTACGTGGGGATACCCCCGAATCTAAGAAAATGTAAGGGGTTGGTGGTTTGGAACATTTTTTATTTTCCCATATATTGGGAATTTCATCATCCCAACTGACTTTCGCATATTTTTCAGAGGGGTAGGTTGAAACCACCAACCAGGTAACTTTACGTGTGGAAAATGCTTGGAATGGGATTTTGGGGGTCCGTTCTGACACATTTATCGAAGGAATGATGGAAGTGACGGAAGGTGATTGCCTGAAGTGCAACTACCCCAAGAATCAAACATGTCAATATATGTCAATCTTACATAATCTTACTCTCTGGTTATGACTAACATAGCCATGGGAAATGACCCATTTATAGATGGTTTACCTATTAAAAATGGTGATTTTCCATGGCTAACCGGCTATGTTAGTCATAACCAGAGGGTAAATCCAGCATGTTTTGTCGATTTTCCCAGCTTTAACGAAGTCCCTTGAGTTCATTCGCCTCGTGGCCATGGCCATGGCACTCCTTGCTGCGCGAAGAAACCAGAGCGAGTACCATTGAGTTCAGTTTTTGGCCAACATCAAACAGTTGCCCTCTGGTAAGCAAACATAGCTATGGAAAATAATATATGTATATGCATATGCATATGCATATGTATATGTATATGTATATGTATATGTATATTTTATATATTTGATATATATATATATACACATATGTATACATATGTATACATAACTATGGAAAATCACCACCTTTGATCAGTAAATCAACTACTACTATGGGCCATGTTCCAGTTCGCAAAGTATTAGTTTACCGGAGGGTACCCCTAAAAAACTTCTTGTTGTTGTTGTCGTGGTTGTGGTTGTGGTTGTGGTTGTTGTTGTTGTTGTTGTTGTTGCTGTTGTTCATTTCATATCATCTCTATCACTTCAGAACAACGTTTCAATGGATTGGTTTAAGGGAAAATCTACAGGAAACCATTGATTTTCCCATTAAATATGGGGCTTTCCTGTAATTTTTCCCTTAAACCAATCCATTGAACGTTGCTTTGTTGCGTCATCTTCACCAGATATTCCCCTCGCGAAACGTTGCCGCAGGATGCTGCAGAAGCTTCTCTACAACTTGGACGAAGACATCCGGATCTGCAAGAAGGCGGAGCTGGCGGGTTTACCCGGGGGGTTGGTGATGGGAATATAGTGGTGGGTTTATGGTAAACTCCATGGGTAAATGTTAGTGGATTTCAATGGGAAATTCCGAATTTGAAAATGGGATTTGATGGGAATTACTTCAGACTTAGATTGGTTGAAGGTGATTTGTTTTTGTGTTTTTCTTGCTTTTCAGCGGTTTTTTCTCCGCCATCCGGGGAATCTACTGGGGTGATTTTGGTTCAGGGCTCTCAAACAAATCCAAATTTAATGGGACTATAGTCGGATTGGAATCGGATTATGGGCTGATAGTGGCCATTCATGGTCAATATCGTGATTTTTTTAAATCCCCTCCCCCGTCCCCTATATTGAACACTCCCCAGAAAACATTGTGTCAGGGATGAAACCACATATTAGATATCCCTTACGCTAAATAATTACACCAACCCACCAACTGGTTGCTGGTTTAATTTTTTGGGTTTAATTTGGAAATATAGACCTTGAGTGTGAGGTCCTCCACCTGTATACTTTTTATGAAAATTAAACCATTTCATTTTTCAGTTGTCGAAGCCTCGTGCTCCAGCGTGCCAGCAGGAGAGTAGAATTGGCACTGGATATGCATTCAGAAAGGTAGTGTTGAAATCCTTTTTTTGGGTTTAAGCTGACTATAGCCGCAAACCTCAAAATTTTCAATGTTTGGGTTCTTTAAGAGTGGTTCCATGTAGTCAAACACAACGTCCAAATGAAAAACGAACAGCCATTCAGGAAAAGGGGGCGCTGGGGATGCCTTTGGCTTAAACTACAGCAACGAGCCGTCAAATTTGCAATTTCTGGTCAAGACTGGCTTTGGACTCTTTTAATGTTTATTTTTGAATATTTTTGACTAGTACCATGTAGCCAGACATATTTGCCACACAAAATGGACAAGCATGCAGGAAAAGGTAGGTTTGGGATGCCTTGTCTTGGTTTAAATTTAAACTCTAGCGGGAAGCCTTCAATTCTGCAATTTTCAGGTCACAGCCGGCCTTGGATTCTGCAAAGTATTTTAGATGTGCTTTTAAACCATCACCTTCAGGTAATCAGGGCCTGGTTTAATTTCTGCTGCGGACATGTAGTGGGGACATTCGAGAATCGGCAGGCAAAGTTTGGACATTTGCACGGGGCCAAAAGCATGTACTCATAGTATCATGTTGTAGTCACTATTCCACAGAAAAAGGACAGGCGCACGAGAAAAGGTAAGTTTAGGATGTGTTATTTTGGCTTAGACTACAGTGGCAAGCTTTCAAATCTGCAATTTTCAGGTCACAGCTGGCCTTGGATTTTGTAGAGTATTTTATTTTTTCAGATGTGATTTTAAACAATTCGCCTTCAGGTACTCAGGGGCCCCTGGTTTAATTTTTGCTGAGGACATATATAGTGGGGACATTCGAGAATCGGCAGGCAATTTTAGCATTTGTGCTTTGCAAGTTGACCAAATTGGTTCAAAATTAAAGGGTTCAAAGCGCACCAGACCGCAAGCGCAGTAGGCAAAACAATTCAAGACATGACAAAACACACCGTAGGGGAACACGCATAAAAATGCGAGAGGTCAAAAAATGAAAGCTGAGGTCTGCAGTCACTGAACCACTGCCTGTTTATTTTTTACATGTTTGCTCGTTTTTGCTTTTTTATTGCTAAGGAAGGGAGGCTTTAATTAAACCACCTCTGCTTCAGTCTCTGTTTAATTTCTGGCTTTTTGTGCTTTAGGTGGACTGGAACTTACCTCTTCATTGGTTTAATTTTTACTAAACATATTAAATTAGGTCCTTTCAGTTAGAGGAGTCCTAGACTGGGCATGACCTGGTTTAATTTCAAAAAATAAACAAGGGTGGGGACTCCCCCCCTCCATTAAGGCAAGGGATATCATATTAGGAGCTATTTGGGATGTGTTTAATTGTAGGGGATGGGAGACAAATAAGGGCTGATCGTTAACCATCAAACATGGTGTTTTAGCATCTTTTTATTATCCTGAAATGGGCATATTGCCAATATGATAATACTAAACTCCCTGTATGAATGCCCCCCGTTCATACAAAGCAATCCAATACTAAACCAGGGGGGTCGTTTCGGGGGGAATATCATTTTCGGAGGATGGGATTCATACTAACCAGCTATGGGTCAGGTCAACCTTGTGAACGGGTGGTTCTACCATGTTCTACCTGTGGCGATCACAAAGTACTCTCTCTCTCTCTCGACTTGGGGCTGCAGGCCAGTTATATGTGAGTATGGGAATGTATAGGTTATACCCTCTGGTAAACTAACATAACTATAGAAAATCACCATGTTGAATAGGTAAACTAAACTACTGACTGTAACTGGGGAATGATACTTTTGGGTTCCTTTCACTCGCCAAGGCATACCTCAAGCTGATGCGCACATGGGTCAGGACTGGAAGTCCAAAAGTCTGGGTATGGGGTTTAGTGGGATTTAAATCGAGTGTAAGTGACGATTTGCCCTCTAGTAATTTAACACAGCTATAGAAAATTGCACATTTCTAGAATTATTTACCTCCAAATAATGGTGGATTTACATAGCTATTTTAAACTACTAGAGGGTAGACATCTTTGTTTTATTTTGAGACATGGTTTTAACTCAAGAAAAAACTCAGGTTTGATATGCATATACATATATATTTATGGAGGTTTCCTGAAATAGGGGTACCCCCAAATCAGCCATTTTTAATAGAATTTTCCCTTATAAACCATCCATTCTTGGGGTATCCCCATGACTATGGAAACCCCAATATACCCTCCTCTAAAACAAAGCAGCAGCATGTGGAGTTTACATCTGTAGATCATTTTTTTTCCGAACGGGTTTCACCATGATGTTTTTACGACATCCATTTCTCACTTTAAAGAAATTATATTCCCATAGATGTATGGTAAATGGAACATGATTACTGTTATATTCCCATAAATATTCCCATAAATAGTAAATAATAAATGTTACCCTTTGGGCTGTTTGGTACATAGCGATGGTATAGATCGCCTATGAAAATAGACGATAAAGATGCGGATTTACTGTTTGTAGAAATGGTGATTTTCCAGTTCGCTACGTTAGTCATTACCAGAGGGAAAGATCATGTAGTGGTAATCTCGTTCAGAAAATCAGTCGATCGCAATATCAGTTGTCAATTTTCACCCCAGTTGTAAGTCAGTTCAAGTTGCTATATATGGTAACATGGATCCCATCAATATACCCCATTTATGTTAGCATATATACCAGCACCATGGATCCGTCATGGGATATATCCACCAGGCCATGTTTATCATAGATCCAGTTGAGTGGAGCTAGTAACCCATCCATCCCCATCAGGGAACCGTGGACCCTGTGCAGTTTTGCGATGGGCCCAAAGGATGTGTTTTTATCTAATGAAAGCCAGGTTTTCTACCGGTTGTATCATATTTGGGGAAGGGATGAAACCCTTTCTGCCTCAGATTTTTTGTAGCTTGGATCACCATGAAATCGAATTGTATCAGTTTGAGTAGATCTGCCCATATCCACATTGTGCTTGTTTTTTTGTTTTTTTTTTTAAATGGTTGGGTCCTTGGAAAATGATCCCTTTTTTTAGTGGCCTATGAACCTGGTTATTAGTCCCCTAAGTTGGTTGTCCCAGATATATCTGGGGTACAGCTTTGGGTGGTTACCTTTCCAGTTATGATTTGTGGGATGATCCTTGAAGTGGTCAAACGTAGATGAGTACCCCCATTCAACCCCCATTCAACCAGTGAGGATCGTCCCACGAATCGTAACTGGTGATTTTCACCATAGTTCGCCCCCACTTTTGGGACGTACATGATTACCCTCTGGTTATGACTAGCAGTTCGCCATGGTAGAGCCATGGCCCATAGAAATAGATGGTTTACCTATTAATAGCATGGTGATTTTCCATGGTAATCACCATGTTTAATAGGTAAACCATCTATAAATGGACCATTTTCCATGGCAAACTGTGAATGTCATAACCAGGTTGGGTACATCTCTAGCTGATTTTCACCTGGCTAACTTGGATGATCCCTCCCAGTACTGGACGACCGGCGCAGGAACGTGGTGGAACACGAAGAGTTGACGCCGGACCAGATTTGTGCAGCTTGGCGCTTGACATAGCGGAAAGCGGAAGCGGAAATCCCTCAAAAATCGACCTTTGGTTTGGACCAACTGGATAAATAAAGAGAAAATGGACATTTTTCATGAGAATGGACGGACAATTTGGGTTCATGTTTGGTATAACTTGATTCGTTTTGGCTATGAATGGTGATTTATAAGATTCCCAATGGAAAAATGGCCGTAAAGGGGTAGCCTGCAGCCAGTTTCTCAGGTTAATCATAGCAACTATAGTCACTAATCACTTACTAAGTATTAAACACTACGAACATCACTATACATCACTATATTACAGTAATCACCCGTTTTTTTCGAACAAATTCTCATTCTTAGCCGAGACTGTGCTATCTTCGCCGCCAGGAACACATTGAAGGAGATGGACAGGAGGAGGACAACTACGAACTCTTGTTGAAGTGCCAAGCTCAACATGGAAAGCCATGGCCCTTTTTGGAAGACATCAGGTGTGGGGTCAAAATGATGCTTCTCAATTCAATAATATGGGTAAAACAATGTCATAAACCATTCCCATGACAATGGTTTATATATACCTATAAAATCCTATAAAAATGCAGATTTTTCTGGGAGATGCTTTATGAAATTGTTGTTTTACGTCACATTAACATAGGTTTCGTGTTTGTTTCATCAGAAATGACACCCGTTTTGGTACAAAGAGTCGTGCTATGTCACCAAAAAAATCCACGACTTCGAGTTCACCTGCTGTACCTGTTCCATCCGTGGGAGATTGGTCACGATACGAGAAGATGAGCCATGGAGTCCATGATATATTGCTCCATAATATGGAGTCCTATATATATATGATATAAATTATATATGATATAAATGATATATGACATATATGATGTATGATTATTCTATATATTTTGCTTGGAAATGCATCCTGAGGTCCTGCTTAATGAGTTGTCAATGCCCCACATTTATTATTGGGTAGGTTTTCCCGGTATACCCCAATGGGTTTACAACCATATAATTATTGCCAATTTGCTGGCTGGGAACATTTTATTTTCTAATCATGAGCTTATGGAACATGTCATACTCATCAATGCTCCCTCTCAAGACAAGAACTTGGGTGCACCCAATGGTAAACATACAAAAAGCTATTGAACTTGGCCATAGAAATAGTTGATTGACCTAGCTATAAAAAATGGTGTTTTTTTTTTTAATATAGTTATGTTAGCCCGTTTACCAGAGGCTACATCCCTTCCACAACGGTTGCGTTTCGCGCTGAGGGATGCGGTGAACTACCTGCACAAGGAGAATCGCACCTTCGAAGCTGCCAAGATGTTGGCCAGGAGCGGCGGTTGCCTCTGATGAGGTTAATAATGGTTAATCTATGGTTAATCTATGGTTAATCTATGGTTAATAATTGGAATAACAATATATCTGGTTGCTGGTGACTGGAACCATGGAATGGATTATGACTTTCCCATATTGGGAAGAATCCCAAGTGACTAATATTAATGGAACATGAATTGGTGTCTTATATATATGGAAAATCCCAAGTTTATGACTTTCCATATATTGGGAAGAATAATCCCAAGTGACGAACTCATATTTTTCAGAGGGGTAGGTATACCACACCAACCAGACCATGTTCATGGGTCTTTCGCATCATTTTGATCATATCTTTTTATGGGCCATTTCTGTATAGCTAAAAAAATGCTAAAATAATCAGGGTGTAATCACAACTTCCCCTAATTACTCAAATTGCCATTTTGGGGCAAAGCCGTTTTCAGATATGCCATGATACGCCTATATAGAATCAACATCACATGTGCAGTTCATTGTTTTTCCCTAGAGACCTGTTGGTGATTTATATGTAGCTGCATATTGAATGGATTTGAATAGTATAATAAAACACATCTTAATTAAAATATGCAAGCAACATGGAAAACGGACCGAAGGTGTCGCACAGTGTCGTGTCGCACAGTGTCGGGCCTGAAAGATGACATATTTTCAGGGTCGAAATGGTAGTTTGCGGGGACGGTAAATCAACATTTTTCATGGCTAAGTCACCATTTCTGCTGGTTATACTATTGTTGTTGGTTGTATCATGTTGTATCCACATATTTTTTCATGGTGAAATGCCAACTTTTGCCACAGATTCTGTGGTTGCATGCAAGACACAACTCTTGTAATCAGGGTGTACCACAGCGGTCTTGGAATTGATACCCTCCAGTTGTACCCATAATCATGGGCATTAAAATTATAGGCTAAAATACACTTGTTTATGGTTACTTGGAGGTTCTAGGTAGAGTTATAGTGGACTTTCTATATCTATGTTCGTTTACGGCAACGTGATGGCTACTATTTGCTTGCTATATTATAGCAATCCAAAACATATACAGATCAGTTTGAATCATGATATGTATGTGGTATATATCACTGGATTGATGTAAGGAAACATCTTCACCGGAAACATTTTTTTCCCTATGAAATATGGCGGGTTCCATATGGGTTTCCTGTAAATTTTCCCTTAAACCAATCCATTGATACATAAATATGTAATATATATAAATTATAAATATCCATGGATGCTATATATATAATTAAATTTTCCCTTAATATATATGTAATATATATATATAGCATCCTGGAAAGCAGTTGAACTTGACCCCAACGGTTGGATCCTGCAGATCGAAAAAAACATATATTCGCCTCGCTCAGTTGCCACAAAGTAGTCGGTGAAAAATCTGTGATTCTTAGATTCTTGTCATTTATAAAATTTATAACCCTTTTTGGTTGGGTCAAAGCATCATATTTTCGTGGTTTCTGTCTACACTTGTTGCTTACTGAAATACACATCTTGTATGGTTAAGACCCAAGATGTCCCAAGTTGTGTTCATTATTTTTACAATCATCTATGTTTATAGTGTGTATATATATAAATATATATATATATATATTGTAATTATATAAGTATACACGTCTCATGTCATCGGAAAATTGCAACGGCATCTATGTTCAGTCTTCACTCCCAGCCCTGCTTCCGCTTCTGCGAAATCTGCGACATCGACGCGAGGCCCAAAGGCCAAACGTCGCGGGTCAGAGAGAGTCTCAGAAACGATCAGCAGATCTACTACCTGGCGAATTTATATAAAGCCGCCCCTTGGTATCCCCTTGGTCTTGTTGATGGTTGTCGTATAGCAAATATGTACGAGAACACGGGAAACAACGAGAGAAAAATAGAGAAAATACTCTTCAAATAGTGATGAATTGCTCTTCGATCGTTTTGGGGATGACTATGTTAATGTCTATGCATGACAAAGTGCATCATGGATCATATATGAGCTGTCACCAAGGAGCCACAAGAAACGTATGAATTTAAGGACCTGTCCCTGGCTGAAGCTGCGGAGAGCAAAAACACGAAGAATTGGTCACCCTTAAACCATTTGGTGTTTAAATGCCACTAATGTAGGTAAAACAACAACGACAATAATAAACCATCCCCCAGTCATCACCATTTTTATAGGTGGTATGAATAAACCATTCCCAGTCATGGGTGGTAAAAATGACATTGTTTTACCCACATTCTTCATATTAAGCATCAACCACTTGGGATTCAATTTTCCATCATCTAACATCAGGATTCTGTAGTGGACATCAATTCAGCTACATATTGCCTGTCCCAACACAACTAGCATAAAATGTCTGGCTTTTGTGGCTTTGTTTGTGGGCCCAGGAACTGTTTTACCATTTAAGTTGACTGACAACTAAATAGTTAAACCAACGGAAACCTAAGAACTTATTATAACCAGATTATAATTCCAAGATTGTGATAAACAACATTTATATAAACTGATTAAAAGCCGACTCTTTCCCTTCCTTTTCTGTCTGAAATCATCATGTTTAGGCTTGATGGCCATCATCTAGGGCCGAAAAATGGGCTGCACCGCCTTAGGTCCAGGAGACAGAGGATCACTTCGGCCCGGTGGCCGAGGGAACCATGGCCTTGCCAAGTCCATCGCAGGAAACGTACCGCGTGCGCAGGCTGCCAGGCGCGAGAGACCCTGAAGTCGGCCACTGTTCGGTGAATGACGAAAAATGGCTGTAGAAGATGGGGTATTTTGGTGTTTTTTCGATGGAAGAAATGGGGATGGGGACTTTGATTAAGATTACTTGGAAGATTCTGGGGTGACTTGCTTGAATTTTGCTAGGGTGGTTTGTGCTTTTCTGGGGCAGATGCCAGGGTTTTTTTGCTGGAACATTTATGGTTCTAGACGCAATAGCTGGGATCTGGGCAGGAAAGTTGGAGATTTTATAGATTTATTCATTTCTTCTCTACCAGGTCTTTGGCCTACCACCTGAATTTCATCTAACCTGAACTACTATGTGACTTGCAACTTGAAAGCTCAGGAACACGAGCACGATCGGGAATTTGAAGACTAAAATGGTTTCAGGGCTCACTAGTGGCAAACCCAATCATCAACCATTCCCATTCCACCTGAAGGTGGTTGAAACCGTCCAAATTTGGTAGTACCGTGGTAAATCCCATCATGATCATTTTTTTCATCCCCTTCATGGGTAAATCCCATATGGGATGATTTAAACGTTTTCAAGCGTTTTCAAGCCATTTTTGACCCAGTCACGGTTGGTTTTCGAGGCATTGGCTTCACCATTTGGTAGCGAAACCTGTCTGTTTATATAACCATCACCAGGCAAAGGCGTCAGCAGAGCTCAAGACGACGAGGCCAAGGGTGATCCACGAAATTCGGCGGTTCGTATGGGATCAAAACTCACGGTGATGTGGTGATCGAAACATGTGGAGGTTTCCTAAAATGGGGATTTCCCAAATTCATTTTAATAGTATGTTCCATTAGACAAAATTCAATTTTTTTTTGCTGTACCCCCAGAAAAATGCAACCCCCCATGTAAGAAACATCACACAGAGTCGTTGCTGTATTTTTATGTTCTTCACGTTTGAAATCGGAAAAACATTGGTAGTTGGAGGCCATGCCCATTTGTTATTGGAAATGGTATAGATATCCCCATGTCTCTTGATCAAATGATTTAAAACCATGTTTTCGCATTTTCGTTGCCCTTCCTCAATTTTGTGGTTCCCTAAATTCGTCAGAAAGCCCGGTCCCATGTTTCACGTATGTCTTTGTTTACGGCGGACTAGACAACCCTAGTTCATGGTACCCCCAAAATTGGGTTGATCATTGTTTTCCTCAATTGGAGGTACAATGATCCCGGCTTCGAACACACCCAAATCGGATTGTTTTCCCAAAATCCAATGTGTCCTTGGTAGATCCAGCATCCATTTTGTTGCTTCAAATGTCCACATACCCATTATAAGTATGTATCCCACTATAATTTGATTCTACTCCCATGATCCAATCCAGTTGTAATCCCATTTGATTTTAGTCCCAATCTATAATCCCACTATAGTCCCACTATATATAATCCCACAAAGTCGCATTACGTCATCCCACTATCATCCCATTAAAATCCCATGAATTCCCAGAAAAATCCCATGGGCTTTGACCCATTTCTGTTGTGCTTCGCACCGAGCGCCGAGCGCCGAGCGTTGTGACGCGCCAGGGATACCACGAGCTGCAACGACTCTTGGAGCCAACCCCCAGAGCCATTGGGCTCTGGTGGCTGTTGGGGAGCACAGTTCGGGTCCATGGCCGAAAGAAATACAATGATCATTGGATATATGGGATAAAAATGGATAATACGTATACATATATATATATTATATTATAATATAAAATTATACATATGAGGATATATATATATACAGTATATGTAAGTATCAATCTGCAACAGACAAGAAGGTTTTTGCAAGACGAAAACCTCGTTTTTGCATGTTTTTGTCCCCACTTGCTGGGTCTGTCAGGGGGTACCCGAACACAGAATATTTGACATGCCTAAAATCTCAGGGGATGTGTCCAGTAGAATGTCAGATAAAATGCCAGAATATATTTTTATGTCAGACAGATTGTCAAATGAAAATAGAGTTAGATACTATGTCATATAGAATGTCAGAATATTTGGCAAAAATGATATGACATTCTATATGTTGAATTCATATTATGTATCTATCCAAATAGTTCATTCTATAATTTTGACACTTAGATAATATGTCAAAATACAGATACTCGTAGAATCACAAATGGAATAATATATCAATGACAGTTAGATAATATAGATAGATAATGTAGATTCCATGCCAACAACTCTATAATTTGATAGATAATTTGACAGCCATATGGCGGTATTCCATTTGACAGTCAGATCATATATCTCACCATGGAATGCCGCCACGAGGTGGCGTTGCTTCGATGGCTACCATGACAAGCACGCGCGGGCGGCGCTGGTGGCCACTCGGAAGCATTCGGTGGCTTCGATGGAACACATGGTAAAAAACCATGGTAAACTGGTTGGTGGTTTGGAACATGAATGGATTATTTTCCCCTATTTTGTTGGGATGATGATCCAATCTGACTTTCACTCCATCATTTTTCAGAGGGGTAGGTCAACCACCAAGCAGTAAAAACATGTCCACTTATTTTACCGTGAATGGGGATGATATGGGATGATATGGAGAATTTCTGTGGAGTTATGGATTTTTACCATGAAAAATGAATATGGAAATGGGGTCTATACCTATGGCCTACTTTCCAGCCATAGCTGCTAGTGGAGCTTTATAGCTGGGAACATAATCTATAAATGATGAAATACTGAAATAGGGGTACCCCCAGTTCTCATCCATGTTACCCTCTGGTAAACTAACGTGACTATGGAAAGATCCACCATTTTTAATGGATAAATCCACTATTTCTATGGTCATTTTCAATAGCTTTTTGTATGTTTACCAGAGGGTAACATGGGATTTTCCCTGAAATAAACCATCCAGCTATTGGGCTACCCCCATGACTATGGAAGCCCCCATTTCTGGATGTTCGATTAGTTATCCCATGGTGGAAACACAACGAAACACGAATGGCCGGAGGCCTGGCCGTGAATGGCTAACTGAACATAGGGTAGCCCAAAAAACTAAAAACACATGTATGTATGTTAATAAAAAATACCCATTATTCTATGGTATATATTGTAGATTTATAGGGTACCCATGATAATTTACCAACATAAAAAATAACATGGTAATGTTATAGGTTTACTGAAACACTCATGAGGTGTTTTTTTTCCCCTTTACATTGCCATAGAATGGGGGTATCTGTTGGTTTCAGGCTTTTTTGAGTACTGCATGACCATTGCACATCTAAGATCCCATGTTCAACAATTTTACAGCCCTACCGTTGCCTGCAATTTTACCACATTGGATGAATTTTCTTCAAACTATCATGTTTGTGCGATGGAATATCCATGTTATGTGTTGCAATCGTTGTAATACCACCAACCAGTTGATCATTGATAGGTTTTCCAGAATGAGATCCCCATCAAAACTCGTTGCTTTTTCTCTCAGATTTGATTCCCATTTGGACCGTGATCACAGATCGTTCTCCCAACCCCCGAGGTGATCACTGTTGAGGACCGCTTCTTCTTGGTGGACATTCTGGAGCTTGGAGCCAAAAAAGAAAGGGCAAGTGGAAATCCACGAACTTTTTTTGGAGCTTTGTAGCTAGGAAAATCAACGAACTCAATTGGTGATGTTCCATTGCTACGCCACGTTACCCCAAAGTTTCCAAGCTATTTGCTGATTGATCTTCTGTAAAAAAAAAATCCCCCAACCTTGGATACGTTGAGTTTTGTTGCTGGAAAGTAATTAACCAGCCAACCAGCGAAAGATGGCAGATGGCTATTTTTTTTTGGTGGACCAAAGATTGGTGGCCCGAGATTCTTGGCCGAGGATGTCCAGGAGTAGATATGGCCAGAGAAGCCTGTACAATTGTTGCGGAGTCAAATAATGTCAAATATATATATATGTATATATATAATATACAAACATATGGGTGTAATATTTAATTTACAATATACAATGTGACATATCATATATCATATTCATATATGTGATATAATTCATATGTATATATATGGTATTCTATAGTATAGATATATGATTATGGCAGATGCAGATCACCGCGACACACTGACGATCTGAGGCTGGAACGCAAGACCATGCTGAACACCTCGGTCGGGGGCCTCTTTTGAGATCGGTATTTTTCTCATGTTTTTTTTTTTTCTGACCCATAGGATCCATGGTGCTGCTATATATATGCTAACATGACTGGGGTATATTGATGGGATCCATGTTACCATATATAGCAGCACCATGGATCCGTCATGGGTGATGAATTATAGAACACGGATGTTCAGCCATGCTGTGAATGATGATAGACAAGTTGGTTTGTAAGTCTAACAACTTTGGTTAATAACTACGGTTTATACTGTAGGTGATATATCGGGGGTGAAACTCAACAAACATCACTGGAGGGGTGCAGAATTGTGCTTTGGGAACCTCCAAGAGCATCCTCTATAAATGGTGTTTCAATGGGAAAATCCTCTGTAAATATGAAGGATTTTCCATTGCCATGTTTAATAGAGTATACATGCTGGTATTTTAACCCCAACATTTGACAGCAATATCATGTGGGTGTGTCCAGGGAAACTGCAGTTTTTTTCAAATCATAGTTGGGGTAGTTTCCAGTTGAGCCCATATACATAGACCCATTTTAATCAATCCATTTTTGTTGGTACCAAGTCATGAGACATCCGCCGTATTTCTTCTAAGTCTGGGTAAATTTCATCACGACCTCTTTGTTCTCACTGAATATACATGAATCTACTGGTTCTGGTTGGTGGTTTGGAACATGAATTTTATTTCTCCATATATTGGGAATGTCATCATCCCAACTGACTTTCATATTTTTCAGAGGGGGTGAAACCACCAACCAGGGTTAGTAGGGGTGACTATGCCAAAATAGCCTAACTTTTCAGGTCAGTGAATTACTATGTCCATCCCTTTGAGAAACAGGCAACATTTTCCATGTTTTTTCTCCGAGCATTTTGAAGCACCCATAATTTTCCACTCAGGTAAATTCAATATATAATATATATATACATACATACATATAATTATATATGATATGACATATTATTTATTGTATATTATATATATACATGTATATATATATATATCACTTATGATTTCCAATAGAATCTGGGGGAGATGATCCCTTAAAACCACTCAACACGTTTTTTTCTTTCGCGGGGTGTTTTGTTCGGGGGATAGGCCGGTACGAAGCGAATTTTTAAGTGATGTGGTCAATCCAATGCCATCTGCACCATCCCCAGTCATGGTAGTTTTATTCAATGGGAATTTCAGGATCCAACAGATGGATGTACGTAAACGTACCATATTTTTGGCCATATGAATTGCTGGGATATTCCCTGAAATTTAGGCCTAAAAAATAGGCCTTATATATGGTAGATACCTCCAATCTATCGGATCCTGAAATGGCCATTGATTTATGGCAGCCAGGGTTGCCCACAAAAAATTCATCGTCAGGCAGGGAAATCCCTGGCCATGTGCACCATCCCCAATGACTTTCGGTGGAGACTCAATCAATAGTCCCTGGTAGACATACTTATTATATCTATGATATTCTCATTATAAATGATTTAATGTGGTTCATACATATATATATATATCTAGATATATGGGGATATCTATGATATTAATGTTGATATAATGCACTTATAAATTCCCCAATGATAGATAATTCCCAGTATATCAATATTCATGTGTTGGTCATTTCCCATCATGAATCTCCTATCTGATCCCCATAATTATATGGTGAAGCCCAAGAAACGATAGGACAATGCCATGTTCGTTTTTTGGGCCTTCACGCACACGTCCCTCCTCGCTGTTCATATGGATATGTGTCTGAACATATGAAAAAAAACATCCAAATCCTCTGGTTCATCAGTTTCATTAAAATTTCTATCAGTCATTTTTTTCGGAGCTACAACCATCATTCGTAGCCCATTGACACATGAGGCTCCCTTAGATAAGCCTTACTTGGAGTTGATCAAGCAGATTTGCGAGGCCGAGAAATCGCTGACCGGATCATGATTTGGGATTTGGGAAGTCGTTTACGAGAACGTAGGAAGAGATCCAACAAAAACATAGAAATGGAAACATGTCAAAACTTTATGGAGATGTTTCAAACGATATATTTATGGAGGTTTTTCTATTTATCAATAGATATCCCATGATCAAAATATGTAGGTTTTTCTATTGATAAGCTTCCAAAATCGGTTTCTATTGGTTTCGACTTGGGCCAAGTCGACGAAGATCGAGAAAGTTTCTTTCAGGGGAAGTTGACCACATGGAAGACACAACCATGGTATTTTTCACATTCTTTACCCTCTGGTTATGTCAAAATAGCTATTGAAAATGGCCATAGAAATAGTGAGTTTTCCCATTAAAAATGATGATTTTCCATAGTTTTCTGTATGTTTACCAGAGGGTAAGTAGTCAAATCACCACGGCCACGTGGGAAACCATCATCCTGGAAGTCCCATGGATAACCAACCTGCTGCGATGGAATTTGTGATGTCCTGTGCTGATCTGGAAATAAAATTCCATTGGCTTATCAGATGTGATCAGTATGAATTATGAATCATACTTTTTTTTTTGGATTCTAACCAACCACATGCCATAAAATAGGAGTTTCAGATACCCTCTGGTAAACTAACGTAACTATGGAAAATCACCATTTTTAATGGGACAACTCACTATAAATGGCCATTTTCAATAGCTATGTTAAATTACCAGAGGGTATTGTCAGTATGATTGCTAGCCACTTGATATGATTGGATCATACCCACTGGAGTTTAATGATGGTTATCAGGCTCAGGGCGAACAATCAAACTGCACGCCCAGCCAAAAGTTGGGTTCCCCATCCAGGCATCCAGGCCAACAAGAATAACAGGTGGCCTAAGTCGTTCACTTTGTGCTTTGTTAAATCCATGCAGATGTTATATATATATACAGTGTATATATATATATATACATACAATCATATTATATATATATTATCCCTGGTTTGGTGGGATAAGTAGGGTTAGTTCATGTCAATTCACTCGCAATGAAACACTGGGGTTTTTACGATTCCCCCGATTCGCAGGCGCGTCATTTGTTGAAGGTGGTACATTACTTGGAGGGCACTGCAGCTGGGTATCAAACTTGCGACATCCGGGATCTTGAGACCTTTTGTTTCCATGGAAAAGGGTGACTTAAGCAGTAAAAACAGGGGTAAAAGTGGTGTCCAAAATGCCTATCAATACTGGATATAACTAGGAACATGTGGAGAATAAGGGGAACTGAATGCATTGATGATGAGAACAGGAATAACATGGATATCACCGTATCACATTTTAGCGGAGCAAGTAAACAGCGAGTATGAACCAACATTCGTGGCAAACATTCGTGGCATGTCAAGCATTTATCATCCAGATGGAGAAAATGTTTGGATCTCTGTATATTCACCTGGTGCGGACCGAAGCTGAGAATCTGCAGGTGGCAGTTCCGGGGCAAAGCTTGGTGAATTCCAGTTATGGGACACGAAACTTCCCAGATCCCAGTTATTTTTTTCCGTTGAACACGAAACTATACTATAATCCCATTCACTTAGATTTGAGGGTGAATAATTGGTATCTACAAGAACTTTGCCATAACTTTGCCATGCTGAATTCTTGTGGTTCTCTGCCAGGTCAGCTGATAGAGAATGGCAGCATATCAACCCACTGTCCTGTGGGGCACCTGTCCTAGGCTTTGCGCGCTCTTCAGCTGGCCTTAATCTCTGAACAGCAACGTCATGGTTCGGGGGCCCGGCGCGAACTGGCAACCGTTTGTTTGGTGCAGATGACATCACTATTTAGGGGGAATCCTCTAATTAAAGAGTGTTTTTTGATCCGAGGTTGATATTACTAAGTAGCAATGTGGTTGCTTCTTCGAGGTCCTTTTGTGATTTGTAAAAGAACTGTAAATTGGTAAAATTGTGTTTTCTATAGACTATAGATATGTAGGATATTCTAGGATGAACTGGTCAGATGAACTAGATTAACTAGATCCTAGTTGCTACGTGTGACCAGCAACTTTCATGTTCTATCCATCATATTTCATGTGGGGGTTTCCATAAACGGGAGGTACCCCAAAAATGGTTGGTTTATATTGGAAAATCCTATTAAAATGAATGATTTAGGGGTACTCCTTATCTTAGGAGACCTCGATGTGGTTCATAGTTTTTCACCAGCTTCCTTAAAAAAACGATGCAACTTTCCACGATTCAATTACACAGGGCCCATTCCACCAAATCTATATCCATCCCAACCATTGCATGGTTGGAATCTTTACATATCCCATCACTGCTATATTCCCATAGAATGGCTGGTGTTATTTTCCATCATGTCCAATAATTTCCCAGCACTTCCCAAAATGTTCGGTGCTTTCAAAGACGTCCCAAGCGTGTTCCCAATAGTTTTCCATTCAAAAAACAATTGATGTCCCATAAACGTCCACCAAAAAAACAATCGATTTCCCATAAATTTCCATATGGAACATCATTATTGAAAATCCCAGTTATGGTTCGATTTTCCCATAAATGGTTCCCATAAACAAACAATTGATTTTCCCAGTTCCCATCATTGAACCTTGTTTCGTCGTAGGTGACGAGAAGCCTTCGAACTACTCCTCGCTGTCGCCCTGTATCGATATGGCACTGGTGCTTTGGACGGCCACGGCCATGTTTTTCATGGTGATATTGTGGAGATACAAGGGGGATAGCATGGAGATATATTGGGAACAGCGGAAATACATGGACATACTTTAGTAAAAAAGAAATCTGGATGAGAAAAATGTGGATTGCTAGTGGATTAATGGGAATATCATCATATAGAGAATCTATATCATGGTTTATCCAATATATGGACATATATCATCCGTTAATCATTATTAACTGGTCCAATGGATTACTGGATTAATCATTAACTGGTCCAATGTGAATGTATCGAAGATTACCAATTGGATGATTATGGTAGGATGAGGGTATTTCCTCAGGTCGTGACGTCACTGGAATGAAATGTTATACCATCACGGTGAATGAGATGTTCAGAAGGGATTCCAATGGGATTTTAACTGCTTGGTGGTTTGGAACATTTGGTTAATCTATGCTTAATCCATGGTTAATAATGGTTAATAATGGTTAATAATGGTTAATAATGGTTAATAATGGTTAATAATTGGAATAACAATATATCTGGTTGGTGGTTTGGAACATGAATGGATTATTTTCCCATCATATTGGGAATGTCATCATCCCAACTGACTTTCACTCCATCATTTTTCAGAGGGGTAGGTTGAAACCACCAACCAGTTAAGCTTCATGGGATTTCAATGGTATTTCCGTGGTACTTCAATGTGCTTGTGTTGTTTTTGTTGAATGGAATTTACTGTGATCATCAAGTCTGGAAGGGGTTCTGAGTATCAAAGATGTGTGATATCTGTGAATAACCCAATAGCAACCCCTCTGATGGCAAGTTGTTGGAGATGGTTTCTGAGGAATCTGTTAGTATCAAAATGCAATAAAATGCACCTTTCATTTTAGTTCCAATAAGTGGTTATAAGTACTACATTCCAATATATGATGGGGTGAAATTAGGTGTCACTAATATAATTTTAAATAGCTCTCAGTGGATTAAATGTGAAGTCTGTATATATTGACCTTTGAGTTGTATTGTGTTAATCTGTTGATGGATGGGGATACATATTTAGGTTTCACGAATAGAATCATCATATTTTTTTATATTAGTATCAACTAGTCAGTATCAACTTAGGTTATACTAATATAAACTAATATAATATTAGGTTCCACCTTAGTATAAACCTAGTTTGAACACCAGTTTTTCATATAACTTAGGTTTGCTGAGCTGGTGATTGTTTATTTTCCGCTTATTCCACCATGACTGGGCAAGGGGTGATGAACTAACTGGGCTCTTAAGTAACATGTTCAGCTGATCCTCCAGCATTTTTTGAGGCAATTTTTGGAATGTCCTATGATGCTAAGTTGGTTTATAACCACAATAACTATGATTTATCGTAGTTATAATAACGAAATAGTAAGATGGGGTTACAAACCAACTTAGCTATCTAGGGGGCCCCACATTGTAGCTTTAATTATTATATATATAATGATGAATGGGAACATAATTTGATAAATAACTGCTTGGTGGTTTGGAACCATGGAATTTTATGACTTTCCCATCATATTGGGAATGTCATAATCCCAACTGACGAACTCATATTTTTCAGAGGGGTTTAAACAACCAACCAGATAAGGTTTTTTTTGTTGTCCTGTTTGATTACCCGAGGGTAGGCAGAACATGAAAACAGATGTTCAATGAGCCAACTTGGATGTTTAGCTTGAATAGTGTATTATAACTGGATGTTTCGTAACCTTGCTTGGAGTGAAAAACAACTCAGACATTGCCCCGGTGATCATAATCTAGGTCATACAAGACAACATCACGCCGTCAAGCATGCTGTTTGGTGGACCAGAGTGTTTTCTTTTGTGAGTCACGGTTAGATAGTTGGAGCAGGAGCAATATTATATTGGATAGTACTGGGATTGCAGTGCATTGTGGCAGTAGCCAATTAAATACCCATCATGGCAGCTTCGGGCAGATATCAGTCAAGTCAATCATTATTTTAATCACCATTTTCCAATTATATAGATTACCATTAATTATAGTACATTATAGTATATACTATATTCTAATTACTATTGATGAGTACTACCACTATTACTATATCATCAATTTGTCGTTTCATTCCATTTGTTCTTCCCCTTCTTGGTCAATCTTTCTCTCTCTCTCTCTCTTCCTGTCTATCCATCATTATCCATCCATAATCCATCCGTTCTGTTCTATTCTTGATCTAAGTCTAAGCTGGATAATCTGCGGTATATGAATCTACACCAATCTATCTATACATGTTGCGTATGAATATAACTATGTACAATCTGTATATATATATACACATATATAATTACATGTATAATTACATATATGTATATATACCTAGACCCTCCAGAAAAATCTATTAGAAGTATGGTCTGGGGTGATATGTTTTTGAGGGTACTTGGACCAAATGTAAGTAAGATTCATGATATTACTGGCTATATCCCCGTGATATTCCCATATCACATTTTTTCCTTCAAAAATCACCATTACATAAGATGTGTTTTCTTATAAATCCACCATTTTTCTTACGCATCCACCATGTTTCCTAGTAAAATCCAAATTTTTAACGAATGTAATCACCATGTTTCCACCATAAATCCACCATAAATCCACCATAAATCCACCATGTTTCCTAGTAATCACCATTTTTCCTACACATTCCCATGTAACATCCACCATAAATCCACGAAAAAAACCACCCAGCGACGCCATGGAACACCCAGGTCGCAGCGTATCTCTCGGGGACCTCCGCAGGGAAGTGCAAGGAACTTCCCGGTAAATTGACAGCAAAAATCGGGGTTTTATCATGGGAATCCATGGGATTTTATGGTGGAAATGAGCACCTAGACCTTGAAGTACGAAAAATGGGGGGACACGGGGACATGTATGAAATTGTATGAACATCTTGGGGTAAATTTTCATGTTTTATCTTGGTACTTGGACATCTTGGACCAAGTCTAAGTAAAATTCATGATATCAAGTTGGTTGTATCAAGGTTTTGTTCCTAGTAAAACTACCACTACATCACAAATTCCAATAATTCCACCATCTTTCTTATAAATCCACACATGTTCCTCTAAATCCGCTATTTTTCCTACACATCCACTACTGGTTGGTGGTTTGGAACATGAATAATTTTCCCAACTGACTTTCATATTTTTCAGAGGGGTAGGTATACCACCAACCAGACTATATGTTCCCTTTTAAATGCATGATTCTTGGTGACAGAAATGCAACCAAGGTTTAGTCTGGAAATATCTGAGACAAGATCTCTGCGTCACAGAGGTAGCGGCTCGTAATGGGCAGGACTGGCAGGACTTTCCTGGGATGCAAAGGAAATATCATTGGAAACATCATGGGAATATCATGGAATACATATATATATAATTATATATATAATTATATATATATATATACATAAATGCATAATATGTTTTTTGAGATTTTGAAATATCATTGGCATATCATGGATAAAATATACGATATTTTATTGCAGATGTCATTGGAATATAATGGAAGACAATATACCATTGAACATATCATTGGAAATACTGTATCCTTGGAAATGGTGATATATGTAATGGAATATATTGGAATATATATATATATATTAATCAATAGCTATGTAATATACTAGCTATATAATGGAAATGACTATAATGGCTATAATGGCTATAATGGCTCTCATTGGCATATACGGAAATACATGTATATATATATATATACACACACACGTACTATATATATATATATATAATATCTCACCAACAATATTATTGATTGGGGATGCAGTTGGGGGTGACTTTTATGGGTAGAACGGTAGAACCATGGGATTTCAACCGAGAAATGGGCGTGTCATTCGGACCTTTTGGACATACCCTCTGGTAATTTAACATAGCTATTGAAAATGGTCATTTAGTTCGTTGATTTACCCATGAAAAATGGTGATTTTCCATAGTTATGCCAAGAGTTCTTAGATTGCAATTGGTTTAAACGGGGATGTGATGGGAGAATCATTGATCAATGAGGATATATATATATAATATAATGGGAATATACAAGAATATTTGGGGTGACTTTTATGCGAATAACCATTGTGACTCCACTTCCATCAGTCGGGTTCATGGTGCCCCCTACCTAAAATTATGCAGCAAGACCTCCACTGAAAAACCATCTGGTAATTCAACATAGCTATGGAAAAAAAACATCATGTTTACTCGGTAAATCATTGAACTAAATGGCTCATTTTCCAAGTATTTCTGACAACTCTAAAGATTCATTAGCTCTGCCCTGAGTTCATTGGGAGGCTCCCGGGTTGACCTATCCGCTGGTCTCGGAGCAGTCTCAACTGATGTGGCTAGGGACTCTCCGTCATCAAACGTGGCGAATCCCCTTGAAAAATATATGATTTTCTCATTCAAACCTTCATTTAGTTCGGGGATTTTCCATCATTTTCCTATGAATTTCCTATATTTACCATATATTTCCCGTGTTTTCCACATTTTCCCATTGTTTTCCACGGGTTTTTCCCAGCCAAGTTTGACTTTTGCCAGGCTTTGAGCAACTTCGAGCATCGTCCTCTACGCGAGTCGCAGGAACACTATGCGTTTCTTGGTGCGGGCGGCGCTAACAGACGAATGGACATCATGGGATAATAATGGATAATAATGGATAATAATGGTTAATAATGGTTAATGATGGTTAATGATGGTTAAGGATGGTCAATGATGGTTAATGATGATTAATATCTGGTTGGTGGTTTGGAACATGTTTTATTTCTCCATTCAGTTGGGAATAATAGCCCCAACTGACGAAGTCATATTTTTCAGAGGGGGTGAAACCACCAACCAGACATGGTCGAGCTAAAGATGGCATTCTTCATAGGAAAGTGATGAACAAAAACTGAAGATGATGGGAGTGATTAATGAAAAATTCCATGGCCCATTCATATTAAACAACCCCCTGAAACCATGGTTGTATAGGGGACGAAATCACATATTTCAAACCATAGAAAGGGGCTGTTGAAAAAAATAAGGGGAAGGGATCATACTCATAATGGGCAAACATATTGAATTTCAGGGACGACATACCATTTTTTCTGGGTACTTGGGTCTAGAGTCTAGGTAGAACCGTTCTTGTTGCATGATGTTCTGAACGGATCATCTGCCGGACATGGTGGAATGTGGGTGTGACGAACAGTCTAGGTGACGAATATATATATATATATATAGCTGTTGCACATGACATATTGGGATGTTCATATGATATCTGGTTGGTGGTTTGGAACATTTGGATTATTTTTCCATATATTGGGAATGTCATCATCCCAACTGACTAAGGGAATGTCATCATCCCAACTGACGAACTCTATCATTTTTCAGAGGGGTAGGTCAACCACCAACCAGATATGGATTTTTGAGTTGATTGTTGGGTTCCCATCAATCGAATATTTTCAGGAGCTTCTCCTGAGCCCTGAGCCATGTGCTGTGATGAAGCCAGTTCAAAGAATCTAAACGCGTGGGAAGATAGCCGAGATTAACCAACAAAATATGATGGTGTTCGAGAAAACATGCATTTTAATGAGCACATTAACACATTGACATTGGTTTGATAATTCACACACACACACACACCGTTTTTACGCCAGAAGCTCAATGTTGGTTTCGTTAGATGGTCCGTTTTGTGAAAACCGTGGGAGGAGCCACTAGGCGGGCGAGTTTAGGCGTCATGACAGATGAGCTTCGGCAAACTGAGGGGGATACCCTCCGGCAATCAAATGTGGCTTGCTTGAAAGTCACGGTTTTCTTGTGGATGATTTCCCCAGCAACCTCCATGACTAGTTCCAGATTTCCGGCATGTTCCATTGCCACGTTTGATGGAGGGTAAATCCATCAATATCCCTGTAAATTTACAAGATGGTGTCCCCCAGTTATAAGTTGGTTTATAATCCCATTAACTATAGATATATCACCTATAAACCATAGTTATTGGAGTTATAAACCAACTTAGCTATCGAACGGGGGCACCACCTTGTATCACATCAGCCCTATTTGTTGATGGTTTTGCACCAGATGCTTCACCACCGCCGGCCTCGGAACAGCATTTGAGAAGCCATGGCGCCTCAGTGAGAAATGATTTGCTGAACTTTCAAGAGTTGTGGTGAGAACGCAGCTACCCTCTGGTAAACTAACATAACTATGGAAAATCACCATTTTCAATGGGTAAATCCACTATAAATGGTGATTTTCCATAGCTATGTTAAATTACCGGAGGGTATGTGAGATTATCAACAGGCTAATTATTGGCCCTCTTGTACATTTGCACTGTTCAGCTTAAGGTGAATTCTTGTCCAGAAAACACATTAATCCCATATTGTCGGTTATAGATATCCACATGATATGATACTATAATGATATTTTCCCTGAATGGTTAATGTTGGTTATCCTGTTCAAATTAACTGATAATTAACTAATTTCATCTCATTTCTGAATGGCTTAGTGTTTACCATTCTTTACCACCTCAATCCCATTTTCATCCCATTAAAATCCCATTGAACCACATTACATAACCACGTGTTTACCATGTTTTGCCACATTAATCCCATTAAATTCCTATTAAACCGCCACTACAATCCACCATGAATGACTGAAGCCACAATTCCCTCACCACTTCATGGCAGCGCTTGCCCATCGCCATGGACTGCTTCATGCTTTGCCTCCGGAGGTGACATGTCGACATGGCGTTTCTTGGTGATTTGGTGTGTCTGAAATTCGAGCCCCCTAGAATGTATGTCAATGTGTATAATGTATATTATATATATATATAATTACATATAAAATAACTGCATATACATATATTATATATATACACAATTATATATATACATGATTACATATGTCTTTATAACTGTATATATATACATTTCACATATTTTGGAGTTCCAAGCCTTTAGTCAGCAGTGGGTGTGATGTGGCTGCGAAGAAACCGGTTGAAAGCTGTCAAGAACCACTTGGGAACTGACACCCAACATGTGGGACAGTCTCTGGTTTTCACACAGCTACGGACATCAAAACATTTTTGAATAGCTAAATCGTGCTAAGATGTGCTAAGCCATAGCTAAACCATAGCTATTATTAAACCAATACAATTGTTTAACCATAGCTAAGCCGTAGAACAAATCGTACTAAATTATTTCTCACTCAATGGGCCATAGCTAAGCTTAGCTATACTTCACCATGGGACGATCGGTCAGTTCTGATCATAAGATCAGTGTCTGACCATGTCAGATTTTCATATCCAACATATTTCTGTTTGATATTCAAATGAGTCAATGATGATGATATGTATATATATATACATATTATAAATTATGTACATATGTACATCATTTTTCAGATAAATCCATCACTTGGACCTGAGGTGTCATCTGCCTGCTGTCCCTGCGAGCCGTCGCTCTCCCGGAGCACCTCCTGCCCGTCCATCAGCCGTGAAAAACCGGCGCTGAGCGTGCCGTCTCTGCGGCATAGCGCCAGTGGCAGCAGCACCTGGGCGAACTGAACAGTTGGGGTGTTTTGTGAAGCTTGAGAAATTTAGAATCCCTCCCAAAAGAAGGGTTTTGGATTTACAAGTAATTAGTCTGGTTGGTGGTTTGGAACATTTTTTTTCCATATATTGGGAATCATAATCCCAACTAATATTTTTCAGAGGGGTTGAAACCACCAACCATGAGTGATTTTGAATAATAATAAACAAACTGAAGAATGGGTCACTTCGCAGTTCTGGGATACTGCCAAACTTTGTGGATTGAAACCACGATTGAGGATTTTGCCAAGAACTGCAAGGGAGAACCAAACAGTAGAAGATGTTTATCTTGAAGACAGAGGTACCGTATGTCATCAAGAAGAACAGTAAGTATAACATAGTATAACAAGAAATCTGTCCAACTGTTTCCACAAGAACAACGCAGCAAATGCATCTATCATCATCACACAAATTAGTGACCTCACTAAGACCTCAGTGTGATGATTCGCAGGGGAATCATCCCCATAATTGGATACCCTCTGGTAAACTAACATAGCTATGGAAAGATCCACCATTTTTAATGGGAAAATCCACTATTTCAATGGCCATTTTCAATAGCAAACTGTTAGTTTACCAGAGGGTAATTGGATGGGTTCTGATTTGGAAATGACAATCATCTGTGCCAAGGCATCAGACATGCTGACCAAGAAGTTGAGTTTTTGGTGCAGCAAGTGCGGCAGTTATGCCACGAACGCAAGAGCATTCGACAGGACTGCGGTCCTGGACCGCAGATGACGCAGATGACAGGATTTTTCTATGCAGAAAGAAGCAATCTCGAAGTATTGCAATCTCCGGAATTATATTTTATAGATAGATCATAATATTATCATGATAACATATCCCATATGCTCCATCTATGGTATATGTACCTACATTTGGGTGATGTTTAAGGCAAATGTTGGTAAGTATTCCATACATGGAGCATATGGGTATGATAACAGATGACTGATAATCATCACATATTCCATGATTTCCTGTGGTTAGAATTATGGCAGTTCGCATTCTTTACGTGATGATTTTTTCCGTTGGAATAGCCATGAATCGTCAGAAAATCGGCCATGGATTATGATTGGTTCATATTGGTCATATAATATATTATGTTCATGGTTTATCATTATGGATTGACAGAATATAGTATATCGCCAAATCATTTTAATATATCTTAACTCAATATAATCATGAATCATGATACAATGTTGGTAAAACAATAAAAACAATTTCCCAAATCACCATAAATGGATGGTATAAAACCATTCCTAGCCATGGGTGGTTTATTATTGTTTTTACCAACATTAATATATTAACCATAAAAACATGGTTTATAGATGATTATATAATTATAATACCACTAAAACAACATACCACTATATTTAAACATGATTGTTTACCATCATGTTAATATATGTTATTTATACCATACTTATATTGTATATATGATTCAATTCTATTATATCATATATCATTATATTACCATATATCATTATATTAGGTAAATATATTACTATGGTAATCAAGTAATGTTAATATATGTTAATATGGTAAACACATGGTATTAATAAATAAATAAATAAATATATATATGTTAATACATGAGCCACCGCACAAACCCCGGCTACACTAAACATGTAAGGGACGGAGATAATTGGTTTGTGGAAATTTATTGTTAAAAACACGAGGTAAGCGATGGGAACTTTCCAAATTAGCGACACCCCCTTTCAAGGTAATGTCATTTTGAACATTGATTTCTGACGTCGTTTGTGAAACAGATTTGGGCCCACAAGGGTACATGCTCTTCAGAAAGTGTTCTTCTTGATATCCATGGAGTGGTCCGCAGAGAAGGGAATCCGCAGAAGCGGAAGCCAAGTCCCCGTAAACACGTTTGTTTCACTAGCTGCCTGCACATCCTTGCCTTGCATGTTTTCATTGACTCTCCACTTGAACTTGCGCCATTTCGATTGCCTCTCCGCTGACTTTATCTCCCCACTGCTGTTGTTTAGTGAAGCTTCTTTGTGACGCTGACAAATTATTGTCGTTGCT